GAAATTTATTATTGCAACATTTATGAACAAATTTCATAAACAGATAACCTCTCAACACGACTTTCATTTTATTTTCAATTAATTATACTAATGCAAACAAACAGCTGAAGTGATTCATAATTTTATCTATTACAATTGTATTTCTGTATATTATCCTATCGTTATGTCGAACTGTTTGCAAGAATGTCCTAACAATAAGCTACAACCGATGAAATCAATCTATACATAGCAACTGGTACATTAAATTGCTTACAATCGAAGTTTACTACAGATGACTTTACTCCCTAGGGAGGAAAATAGCTGTTTTAGACCTTCAACACATGTATTAAAACAAATATTTTTGCTGAAGTTTGACAAAAAACCTTTTTCAAGTAACCAGTTTATTTTACAGCCTTACTGGTATGAAATGTTATAAACATAATCTGATATCCAGTTTCTTGCCCTACGCAATAGAAGAACGGATGACTTACTCCCATTGGGTGCCAATAATGCTGATTATAAAATGAGCATTATTAGCAGCTCTGCAAAATTTTAAACTGCTAGACAGCAGCTCAGTTACAAATAATTTACATTTAAATAGCCCAGTATGGATTTAAAAAGCAAATTTAAAATGTTTCAACTTAATTTATTTAATTTGAATATTAAATTAAAAATTTGAATAGCCTTTTACTATCTTTGTGTTTATAATACTAAACTTAAAGCAACAAAAAAGATTTATGTCTAGTTTCAAATAATAAATAACAACTTTCATACCCGAAATAGTTTTGAAACATCTGTAGTTTCCTGGTGAACTCTGACAGTTTCATTTTTAAGCGGGAATCGCAGTTGTTCAGCAACTTTGTGCTGGTAGACCACAGCATCCCAGCGATTTAGTTGTCTCTTGGCATGCTCGTATCCCGCTGCTCGAGTTATCTATTGTGGCATCAATATTAAAATACAAGGATACAGTCCTTACAGTTGGAATTGTTGGTACAGTTTTAGTTAGTGCTCGATTTGTAAAAAATTAGGTGCCGGAACTACGGGAACTATAACCTATTTAATGTGATTTAGTACCCGTTTAGGCCAATAATATTTTTATCTTTCCAAAAGAGAGGTACCACAACTCCGTTCTGCCGCGTTCCCCACAAATCGAGCACTGGTTTTAGTTGACATTTATGGAACCAGTAGTGTGACGAATTACCAAAAACATTAGTTTACAAACTTAACCTTAATCTAAAAGTGATGAAGCCTATCTAGTGTTTTTGATTATTATGGCAGCCTAATCTTCAACCATTACGCATTAAAATTAATCAGTTAAGGTATTACTTTACAAAATAAAAACAAGGGACTCCGGTTCCTGGGGTTCCGGGTTCAAACCATGCCAAATCACCAATGGATTTTATCTAAGTGATATTGCCGTAACCCCTAGGTCTAGCCTGAAGTAATGTGAAAAACAATTCTGGGCTCGTGCCTAGTGTCCTAGGAAAAAAACACCAGGAAACCCAAAGTCTGCACACCTCTATATAGCATAAACGTGCACTTTTTTGTTAGAATCCCAATCTTGTCTGAAAACCCAAAATGGGTTATTTTGGGAGCAGCTAAAAAATTGTAAATGTAAAGCCCCATCAAGTGACAACTAAATTTAAATATCTAAAATACTGGGACCCAAAACTAAAATTATGGCTTCGACATTCCATTGTTCTCAAAATTATCTTTCTTTCAACACAAAAATCATGAAAATCCGTCAATGACCTTCAAAATGAGTTGCCACTTGATGGGGTTTTACATTTAAATTTTTTTAGCTGCTCCCAAAATAGCCCATTTTGGGTTTTCAGACAAAATTGGGGTACCAACAAAAAAGTGTACTTTTATCCTTTTATGCTATATAGAAGATTATGGGTTTCCTGGTCTAACCCATTAAAAAATTGATAAGGGGTCTCCAGACTTTTTATTAACCCTGTATAAACTGTACAGTGACTCGCAAACTTGTATATATTATTAGATGTAGTAGGCCTTTAGTGTAACTCTGAATATACCACAACTTGTGGTGAAATGCACATTAGTGATCTAACGAGCTTAGAACTTCAAGAACTGAAGGCATTCCTACAAAATAAAAGGTAACTGAATTAAAAATTATTACCTGGTCAGCATGATATTTTTCCAACGGCCTAGGCAAAGTTCTAGCTCGTTTACGAGCTACTTTTAGTTTATGGCCGATTTCTGCATGGACAGCTCGTTTGTTGAGCACCTTAGCAAGCTCTGTAACCTTGACTCGACCCTGCTTCTTGTCTGGCTGACTTAAGTGGAACTCTGAAACTTCTAGACTAGGCTCCTTCCGTGTTGGAGCTTTTACTCTGAAACATTATTGATCTTAATTATACTTATAACTACTTTACTAGAATGTTGAATGGCAAAAGTGAAATTTTATTTGAAAAACTAGTAAGTAGGCCTAAGCCCTACATTGCCTACTACTTAAAATTTGAAAAATAAATATTAGAACCATAATTATGTAGGATATACAGTACACGGAAGAAGTTTAAAAAGTAGTATTTGGTGAAGAATCCCTTAGATCCTATTTGGAATTCCTTTCTGTAATATTCCTAAGCCATGTTTTGGTAACAATTCAATGAGGAAATTCACTTAACCTTTAAGATTGCTGTAGCACTTTTTATGTCGATCCAAATCTAACTTAGCTAATTCTGGCTTGATTTCAGAAAGAACAAGTGGTTCCTCTACAAGTAATTTAAAAAATAATAACAAACCCAGGTAAATGCTGTTGCTATGTGTACTGTTCTTTCCAAATAACACGTAGGCCTAGTTAATTGGCAATGGAGAGATGGCCGGGGATGATGAACAGACATCATATCTCCTAGCAGGTTGCAGTTCTAGGCCTAGTACCTCAAATATTAGAAATCATTCACTAACTGTATTAGGCCTACAGGTTTTCATTGTAGGCCACACAATAGATAATGATCTTTATCTAAATATTCATGAATAGTACCTCCATGTGTAAAAAAAAGATTTTAGATTGTCAAATTATACAATGTACAAAATTTTATTTTTCATCCAAATTCTAGAATCCAAATTCATACCTTTTCTTTTCATAAAGCTGAGAGACAGCTCCAAGAAGCTTGTTATGATCAGCTGGCAACTGCCCATCATCATCTGAATGTTGAAGATCTAAGTCATCCAAATTTCCAGCCATCTGAAACATTAAAATTCATAATGTTACCCAATTGACGATGACCTGCTATATCGAGAAACAAAGATCAAATTATCTTTCTTAGAGGGAATTTAAATTGTAGGCCTATAGAAGCAGCTCAAATTCAAAGATATGTTAAAAATGCCAGTAGCATTCATTAGCAATTCTTCCACAGGAAAATATTTTAAGACATTGTGGAATAGGCTCTAACTGATTGTTTCAAATAGTGTATTAACGTTCCGGAACGTCACCGCTCATTGTTGTTTAACGTTTCCATGGATCAGCCAGCTCGTCACGAGCGTCCTATATTTCTTCGCAGCTCGTGGGGACGTACTTTTCTGACAGTAAAAAATATAGTTTCCCAAAATCACCACCAGGTTCATTTAGAACAGGGCTTTGTCCCACCTCTTTCCTGCTAGATAGCGACACTACTGGCGACTGCAACCTGGGCAGTGCTGCTATCTATCAGAATCACTTAGTACGATGTCCAAAGCCAGTTTTATTGCAGAACATTGCCATCCAGTATAACTACTGTTGTTTTTACTGTAATTCAGTGGATAGGCGGCAATGTTACGCAGTGGCGAGCATTAGTTCAGCTCCTGGCGCCGTCCCGGCTTCTAGCGGTCAGCAGTGAACGTGTTAAGGAACCATGCTGTTATTTACATAATAATAGGTTATAAAACTATAAATGGAATAAAGATGTTGGATGACTGAAAAACTGTTTAGAGGCAGGATGTTCTGAAATTCATTTTGTAAATAACTCTGTTTTTGGAGTTGATCTAGAGAATGAAATGTTTTTCATTCCCACATCTTTATGACAGCAACGGATAACCCAGATGAGGTTAGATGACGGACGCCACAATAACTTAAACCAGCGGTTCCAAAACTTTTTGGTGTAGCGGTGCACCACCACCTTGGAATTCCTTTTCGCGACCCATGTATTGAATAAATAATAATTCAAGAAATACACCTTATATTCTAAATCCTGTCAAATACCTTTCAAGAAAGTATCATGTACAACTATTGTATAGAAGGGGGTTAGGCTATAAATGATTTAGGCTATAAAAAAAATCATTACAGTAGTATTATCATGTACACTGATAAACACACAACTAAATGACAGTTGTGAGGATGGTGTTATGGAAAGTACAACTTCTAAAACGCTATTGTTTGAAAAACTTGTATAATTGTTCAGAACTGAACAGAACTACTAATTTCAAGAGGGCTTACTATTTATTTGTATTGAATACTGACAACTACTATTTTTGTATTTTTATTTTTTAGGAGGTTGCCCTCTCGCACAAATATGTTATTAAGACCCGATTAGCTCTTCACGATACTACCGAATTGATACAATTTACTTTAATTGGTGCTCCTCTCCAGGGGCTTTTTTGAAGATGTTTAGGCTAGCTATAACTTATTCAATTTTTTTTTAATTTTGCAGCTAAACAATATGCCATAAAATATGTTCAATTTTCTTTCGATTGTCCAGCAAAGTACGGATCTGCGGAATGTTTTGTGCCCAGTAGGCCTACTAACATAAATCTATTACCACCCACGCTAAAATAAACAATTTCAAATATCTAACTTAGTACGGTATTACAAAATATAGTGATAATAAAAGAAAATCTCTCTTTATAGGCCTAGCTATGCTTTCTTCATCAACTATTTGTAAAAAAATATTTTATTTGTAAGTAATGTCAGAAACCGCTTATGGATCAAACACTGTCAGAAGTGATTAACAGGAAGTTAATTGTTAACAATTTTAAATTAAGCCTTCCCGTTGATTTTACTACAAAAACTCAAGTTTAAAAAGCTCGGGGTACCTATAAAAGTAGGTAAGTTTCATATGTTTACAAGCCATTTAGTAAATTTAGCCTAGTGTATCGTGAAATATCACAAATATCCATCCTAACTGAATTCCGTAATCTTTGCCAATCATCACGGTCCCTTCGAAATCATCTACCGCCTTTGCGGTAACATCATGATCATCTCCACGTCATTAAGGTTGGTCCAAAAACGAATGGGATTAGCTGGCCCTTTGCCTGCTGCGGCAATATTGTAAATTTTCTAAATAAAATCCATGTATAAAAATTGGAAATAAATATTTACCAAAAAATTGGTGTTTGAGATTCATAGTTTTGAGATAAAAGGTGTCGAACTGTAAATATTCGCAAAATAATTTTAGTACAGGTGTGCCCCTTGCTGCCCACTGGTACTATCCTAGTGCTCACTAGACCGTTCCGGTAAAAAAATAAAATTTAATGCTTGTTCTCTTCCTGTGACCCACCAAATTGCTTCTGGAACCCATAGTTTGGGAACCACTGGCTTTAACTGTCATAAGACACCTTGTTTTCAGAAATGGGAAAATTGTCTTAGGAGAAAAATGTCTCAGGAACAAGTTCCCTGATAATTAATTAACAAGCAACCAGGCAAACAGGTTAGCTTTGTCACCTGTTGCGCAAAGTTCACAAAGCCATACAAAATATCTTTTTTTACTTAGGAGCGATAACAAATAACGCAAGTTCCTTGATACCAGTTATGTTTAAAACCACTGAGCAGTGATTGAAACTATCCATTCGATTAGTAAACCTTCATTTGATTTTTCATTATCAGCAAGTTTGGTTAATTAGGTTAGGTTATGACAGTTTCATTTTATAATTTACATACCGTAGTTAAAAATGTCGATTTTTCAATCGATCATTTCAATTAATATTAGCATAGCCCAGTTAAGAAACTGTACCCCACTGAGCTAGCTCACTGTGGCAAAATATTGTTTGATAATGTTGTAGTTAAAGTTAACATTGAGGTTAGTTCATGTAAAGATTATACCAAGCCTAAACTTAGTTATTTTTTGTTGCTGTAAGCCTACGTAAAATAAATTTTTATATTTAGAATTACTTACCACCGTAAATATCAGTCTTCAGACAAAATATAGTCATTTGTTAGTATAAAAAGTGAAATTTAAATTAGGTTAGTACACAAGCAATAGTTTGGTTAGGCCGGCATGGAATTGATGGAATGGAAGATCGGTCACGGTCGGTTCGGTGGGGCACAGGGGAGATTTTCTGGTGCCATTATGACGTCACTAACCACTTGCGTCATCGGTCCACGGGTGACACCCAGGGTGACACCGACACCAGCGCACCGCGCTACAGCGAGGTGGAGTCAGGGAGACCGCTATGGGAAGTTTGTATCCGTACTTTGTACTTCATCACAAAATTAATACTTTTCCCCCTAGTTTGAAATATGTAGGCGAACTGATGAACGATAACATAGCTTGTTGAAAGATTTAAACTATAATCTTGTTAATCGTTAAGACGTAACTAAACCATTTTTAATTATACGCTACGCACTTCAATGATGCTGGTGGAAGCAGTTATTTCGTGACACCTTTTTTAACTTACAAGAGGATTATTTATTCATTTAAAATCTAATTGTATATTATGACACCAATTATTAATTAATGTTTACAAAATTACTAGCAATTCAGTAAAACGGACTAATGTAGTGTAAGTGAACCCTAACCATATTATACAATATATATAATATACTATATATATATATAACCATATTATTTATATATAGTATACGAGTGCAAGTGAACCTTCAATATTATTTAGAAAGCTCGTATAGACTATAATCTGTAGAGTAAGTGAGCTGTCCCCGACTAAGCCACGGCGGGTCTGACTTAGGGGAGGTACAAATGAGGCATTTAGTTCAAAATTCCTCCGTGAACAGCGATGTAGTAGAGAGCACTTTGGCAATGAAGGTTTACTAATTGCAAAAATAGTTCTGTTGATAAAATAAAATTATAAATGCCTAAAATTCAATTTTATTAATTTTTAATTATAAAATTAACTATCATAACCTAACCGAACTAACCAAACTTGCTGATAATGAAATAATATAACAAAAGTTTATAGTAATCGGAAAAATAATTCTGTTTATAAAATAAAACTAGAAATTGCTCAATTAAAATTTTATAATGACTTAATAATAAAATTAAACTGTAATAACCAAACCAAACCAACCAAACTTGCTGAAAATAAAAAAAATCTTGGACAAAAAGTTACTTCCACCGGCGGGATTCGAACCCGGGACCTGCAGTATATCAGCCCGGCACGCTAACCATTAGACCACCGAGGCCGATGGCTATCGACCGTTTTGTTACGGTAATGGCGTTCCCTCAGCTAATAAGAAGCCCTCAGCTGTCATCGTAGCCTCTTCTATACCTCCCCTGAGTAAATACCAGCCACGGCCACCATCAACTCCAGGCCGCGGCCTGGTGTGTAGAATTGGCAACGTCGCAAGTCTTTCTTCCACAATGGTCGCAAGAAGTGTTGTTTAGCGCCAGACGTCCCATAAGATAACATGGTAGACACCAGCTCAGTAATTCGCGTATTATTCATTTAAACTTGAATTTATGAATATATAGCCTATTTGTTAAAATATTGAAAATAAAACATTTAGAATTGAAAACGAAAACATAAATTTTGAAATCTTTTCTTTTACATAGAAAATGAAGTCAATCTATTAATAGACCAGTAACGAGCTTTCGTATTCTTAAAAATACACAAATACCATTAGCTGCCTCCAAACAAAAGCAACACTACTTGGGACGATGCCACTTCGAAGGCCGCGGTCTGGTTTTAAAGGTGGCCGAGACTAAGCACAACAAAAAATTCATAGTTATATAATAAAATTTAAGTTACATTTACCGGCATCTGCGCCAATGTAACTGTGATCAGTGTCACACGTTAATCCCTAGCAAAATCTTCCAATCTTACTCTCTATATAGTTTAAATTCCAAGGTGGGGCGAGTTCGGAATTGCTCGTTCGATTACGTTAATATTTGTAAAAGATTCCTTGCTCGGTCGAGACAAGAGGTTAACGCTCATGGCTCGGTTGAGTCTTCTGCTCTGCACTAATGATGGCGTCATAACGACACCTGAAAATCTCCCGTGTGCCGCTGTGGATGAGGGATGACGTAGTGGTAGCATAGATGAAGTAGTATAATGGTGTTTTCCTACAGTTTAACAATGTACACTTTCTCTCACTGATTTGAGAAAGGAAAGTGGCCAATTCGCTCATCAGTGAGGCAATGTTAACATTGTCTCACTCACTCCAGATTTGCAACGTGAAGGCACGAAATAGTGAGCGCGTAACACTGAGCTAAAATTATAACTGGAGGTAGCACTGCCATGGCAGAAGTCTGTCAAAAGCGAGTCGCTGATTTTGTTAGGTTGGTATAGCAGTAAGTTTTCTTACCATAGCAATAACATGGCTTCTTATAACTAGGTTGGTATAGCAGTGAGTATTTTTGTCATACTTGAATACTTTTAATACTTTAATAATTTTCTTTGAAATGGTGACCATACAAAGTAGGTATTTTAAGCCAAGTATAATAATAGTTATAGCAATAATATGGCTTCTTATGGACACCCACCTCACGCAAACATGGCGGCTGGCGACACGCACCTTTGACATTCAGTGCTACCTCCATGGCGCGTAACATGCAGACAAGGTCGTATGCGCGCGAAATACGTTGGCAGCACTGGCTGTAAATCAGTTGATCAGCTGTTGTACTGTTGTGACGTTTGGTCAAAAAACACTGTTTACGTTCCTCGTAGCAGCAAACCTAAGCACTTGTTAAATCTAATGTTATTTAAATTGGGAATAAATATGTCTTATTTATAAAAAAATTTTAGTAAATATGAAAGTTAATCAGACGAGTTGAAATTCGCTTAGTCTACAGGTTTGCGGCGGGGGTATTATAATACTGTGATCATGGCCTTAGTGCCGAAATACGAATTAGTTTAATAAAAATGAATTTCAGTTTACTCTGGATTTATTATTTTATTTATTTATTGAAAAGTAGCCATAAAAAGTTAACATAACTATAAAAAAAATATATACATATATATATATATATATATATATGTGTTTGTTAGCGCGATAACTCAAGCAACAAAGATCCGATTTTGATTAAATTTGGTGCAAACGTGTAAACCTACGTTTATTCGAAGGAGTTCGCGATCCAGCATAATCGGACCATGGGAACGGGGGTTTATGGGGGGTTTTATGGGGTTAAAATGGGGTTTTCCCATTTTTGACCCTAAAAACAAAATATTTTGTAATTTCTTTTTAAACCAGTTTGTAGAGCTTAAAAAAGAAATAATTTAGTATATTTAAGCGCTGTTGTATGCCTAACAGTCACGGAGAAAATTAAAAAATTGTGTAATTTAAAATTCCCATGTTATTCTTATGGAGGAAATGAAAATTTGTTGTAGTTTACTTGTTTATGGATATACTAGCTGTAACCCGCGGGCTTTGCCAGATTAAACTTCTTAATTTTCAAGATTATCTCGTTCGCATGGCTCAATCACGTCCTGGTTGAAGTTTGTTCGCTACGCTCACTCACCTTTAGGTTGGAGCTCGTTCGCTGCGCTCACTTGCCTTCAGGTAAGCTCGTTCGCTACGCTAACTTGCCTCCAGGTTGAAGTTTGTTCGCTACGCTCACTCACCTTTTGGTTGCAAATTAGCTGTTGTTATAAAGGTAAAAGAAATAATAGTGCTGCACCCTGTTGGTAATCCTTGTAACTTTAATGCTATTGAACATCATAGAACAGAACCAACTTGTTTAATTGAAACAGCTGTTAAGATTCAATAATTCCATTTCTCATAAGGTTAACATGGGAAACTCCAGAGCCACTGGGGCGGAGCCCGAAAGGATTTTTCAAATAAGAATATGCCTATATGTTAATCGGGAATGTGAGCTATCATCATGCCAAATTTCAGCCCAATCCGACCAGTATTTTTCGCGTTCACTTGTCACAAACATACATCCATACATACATCCAAACTTTCTCATTTATAATATTAGTAGGATATTGATAACATTTGGCAAATTTATTTATTTCATGCTATACTATTGACGTATGGTCAAAAAACACTGCTTACCTCTAGCAGCAAACCTAAGCACTCGTTAAATATACCTAATGTTATTTAAATAGGGAATACTTAAATATGTCTTATTTATGGAAATATTTTAGTAAAAATGTAATCAGACAAGTTGAAATTTGCTTACTCTGCAGGTTTGCTGCAGCGGGGGTATATTTATTATTGCTGTGAATGATTTTGCTTCAAATATTCCTTGTACCACAGTGTTATATGCAGATGATACCACATACTTCTTAACAGCAAAAAACACCTAGATGATCTAATAAGAAAAGAACTGAGAACCAAGCCTTAGAAGTAGCGATGGGATGGTTTCATTCTAATCTTTTAATTGTTAATGGAAAAAAGACTGAAAAATTATCTTTTCTTTGGACTTTTCTATTTATAAAGATGTAAAACCTGTTAAGTTGTTAGGTACCTATTTATGTTGATAGTAGGTTAAGTTGGGAAACTCATGTGGAGCAGTTGTGTAGAAAACTGTCTAGAGTAATTCACCTTCTTAGAAAGTTGAAAGATCAAAAACATCAACATCAAAAACATGCTGATAACTGCCTATTATGCTTTTTTTCATTCTCACTTAAAGTATCACATAACTTTATAGGGCAACTCATGTAGTGCATTAGAGGCTTTTAAGTGGCAAAAAAGGGCTGTAAGAGTCATTAAAAATGTTTCAGATAGGGAGTCATGTGTTCCTTTTATTCAAAGAGCTTAAAATAATGACTTTTCCAAATTTGTACATTTACTGCTGCCTGATGGATGGAATTCTCTTTGTAAATTGTCCGTTAGAAAAGAAATTCATGACTATCAAACGAGGGAAAACTATATTCTTAACTTAATCTCTGTAAGGTTGGAAAAAACAAGAAACAGTCATGTTTATATGAAAATTAAATTATTTAATAAACTGCCAGAAAACATGTGAAATGTAACCTCAAAACAGTTTGAAAATAAGATTAAAATATGGTTAAGAGAAAAAACTCTGATAACTTACTTATATTTATTGAGATCTCAGAGAAACTTATTATTTACATGGCTGTTAAACATTAGCTCCTTGCAGGCTGCAGTTCACTGGACAGGTCTCATACACTTCATTTCTTTTATATCTGGTGTCTATCCTCTGTGGTATTTAACCCCAAGAAGGTTTAATATACATAAGAATTTTTTTAGCAGAGATAAACAGACATTCCTTAAATTGATTCCAGGATTCCTACTTCCTTGATTTTTTTTATAACTTAATATCACCAGCAAGTCTTTCTCTGTGTATTGGGTACACATAACACCTTCCATCACTTAGATCTACAAATCTCTCATGATCATAGTCTTTATCCTGAAATCTAAAAAAATCAAAGTTTTAGACAAGAGTTTAAAAGATTAACTTACAAAACACACCTGCAGCAGCAAACCTGGAGACTACGTGAATTTCCATTTGCCTGATAGGCTTTTCACCAAAATATTTCCTTAGAATTGTCAGATTCCTTATATAAAAACATTATTTGGGTTTAAGTTAACAAGTACCTAGGTTTACTGCCACAGAGAAGGTATAGTGTGTTTTTTTAGTTTTTTTGTGAAATAAGTATTTTACTAAGCTTAGTATGAAATAATAATTTTAAATTTACCAAATTTAATTGTATCCATAAATATGCTTGGAAAGTTCCGGGGCAGTTAAATATTTCAAATAATAATGTAAAGACAGAGCTACTTATATTATTACAAAGTTACTGGAAAACAAAATCATTTTAACACATTATTTAGTGATACCTGCCCATCAGGGGAACAGGCCTGCCAGGAGTCTAAAGATAACATAGATATGGTTTACATAATTAAAGATATGTAAAACTACTATTAATGATAATGACCATTTTAACAGGAAAAATGTCAAAGATAACTAAAGTCTAAACAAAAGTATTCTGAATAATAATCTAAGAATGACACCCAGCATTGGATATTATGTATTCGTAAAGTCTATACTGGATCTTCATTAGCATACATTTACAACAATGTGATTACTACAAATTGAACAATAAAATAAAACATATAATAAAAGTATCCTGAATAATAATCAAAGGATGACACCCGGCATTGAATATTATGTATCCGTAAAGTTTATTCTGGATCTTCATTAACATACATTTACAACAATGTAATTACTAAAAATTCAACAATATAATAATGGTATAGCAAAAGTATCCTGAATAATAATCTAAGGATGAGCGGCGTTGGATATTATGCATCCGTAAAGTTACTACTGGATCTTCATTAACATACATTTACAACCATGTGATTACTACAAATTGAACAATGTAATCAAACATTTGCAAAAGTCTTTGATAACAAAATATAACGTAGTCGTGAGGTGGTAAAAGATTCAATGATTAGTAAAGTAAAGACCTCATTCACTTAAATGGTTTTTGACGTAGTAGGCTAACTACTAGACTACAGAACCACTTGGTGATTGAGCTAATACAATTTTATATATATAGATACATCATCAGTGATTCAGGAAATTCAACCCCTTCACTCCGCAGTCCAACTAGGATCAGACCAGAACTACTCTTTTTTCATTGGTCAGTTTAGGGGATCTCACTGTGACCGGGTGTGTATGATCGGTGTGCATAGGCGACGCTAGCGCGACGTGGTGCCGGATTCAGAACTTTATGCACACGCACATTATAGAAAAATCAGCCCAAATGAGATCCAGCTGTTTTCGGCAAACTTTGGGTATTTCCGTGATCCTGACAAGCTCAGGAGGACCAATCAGAGGCTTTGGCGTTTCGAGATCCACCACCCCGGATCTCGAAGCGCCAACGGATCTCACTATGCCGTTGTGTAAACAAACTGCGGATCTCGTTTAGACACATTTGTAAGAGCACACACACACACACATATATATATATATATATTATTAAGTCAACAATTAAAAACAAAAACCTGTTATTTTTTTCTCTAGAGATATGTGTTAACCCTATTCATAGTACACAATCCAAGATGGTTTGATTACATAAGTATGAGAATAATCAATAACCGGTTGAATAGTTTAAATAAGTGTGTGCAGAATGATAGGTACGGTAGATTAAATAGTGTTTCAAATATTCTTACCTGACAACAAACAAGTAATTATGAACATTAGTGATTGGTATGTATGTTCTAGTAAAATAGATAACTTGTTCGAGAGGTTTTAAAATCCTGCCTCTATCCATGGTACCGTTCCAAAGCTGTTGAATATTTTCCGAATCAAAAATTAATACTTTTGCTTTTTCTTTCTTTAAAACATTGTGAACCCAATTAGAAATGGAACAGTTTATGGTTTCTTCTTCATCATAAATGTCAATCACCTGAAAGTAGTCAACAAAGATCAGGTTATTAGCTTAGCATCAAACTATATTTCAATAACACACATTCAAATTGTCTTCTAGCTCATTAGTAGACAAATCTGAATTGTGAATGTTATCTACATTACATTATTCATCAAACTCAACAAATGTACACTACAGTTATTTTTACATCGAGCATGTTATATATAAATTAGGGATGGACGAGATTGGATTTTTATTTCGAGACGAGACGAGACGAGATTTTTTATTTCTTATAAAATTTTGAGACGAGATCGAGACGGGATTTCCCTTCTCATACACAACGGGAAATGCAGGTTCAAAATTTTTACCTGATTTTGTAACATTGTTAGATGACTGTTTAAATAAAAAAATAATGATAATAGGCAAGAATATTTACAATCTTTTATTAAAAAACATCAGCATGACATTTTTTTATTAATCACGCCTAACTTATTAAAAATGCCTACGATAAGGAAACATAGTGATATCAGTTAGGATAGAGTTCAACTTATCCTAAAATAAAATAAATCATAAAATAAAAGCAATATTAATTTGTATAAAATAGTTACATGTTTTGACTTTTTATAGTAATAAAACATTCCTCACACTGCTTACACTTTACAAAACTTCTCAAATGTTATTAAAGTAATATTATTAAAATAATTAAAGTTATATTTACATTTAAAGAATTAATTAAATAAGAACGCCTTCACAAAGGAAACACAACTACAACACGCTCCTGTATTGCGGGTATTGCATTGACTTTCTGCAGGCGTTTTTAATTATTTTTTTTATTCCCGTCTCTGTAAAAATCTCGGCCAAAAAGAAATCTCGTCTCGTGTAACGAGATTTAAAATTTCCCGAAATTTCGAGACTTGACCATCCCTAATATAAATATTATAAATAAAGGGTGGGAGAGGGAAGTATCCCTATTTTTAAGATGGCACTGTGAGCACAGTGTGGATGTGCTGGAGGATTGGGGTTGTTAGGCTCAAATGACGCTGTTGCTTTGTCAGTAGTGGAAATGGTTTAGTGGAGTGAGCAATGTGCTTTTGCAGTCCAGACATATTTTTCCCAAAATCAGTCTATTATTGCCATGCAGCGTGTTATCGGATCACCTGCCGCAAAGCTGTTCCATTTTGTTGTAGGTGAAGGACTTCCGTGTATGTGGTGGTGTAGCGAATGAGATTTGGGGCTCAAAGAACCATCGGAACTCATGATCGACCTTGTCAGAATATTTTGCAGTCTCCTCAACATCCTGCTTATAAGCATGCATCCGCACTGGTGTTGTCTAATCGTACTGTGCCTTGTATTCTCCATGAGGACCTACACCTAAATATATATCAGATGGTAGTTGCTCAAAAACTCGCACAACGGTTTTCGCAACAACGAATGCAGGCATGTGAAATCTTAATTGCGAACCTGTCTCATGTCTCTCGTGTTTCGTTTAGTGACAAGGCACACTTCCCATATTTCTGGAAATAAGCGGAATATGCATTAAACTGGTTAAGGGAAAATAACATATGTTACTATAACTTTTGAACCGTAATTTTTACAGCAATGGGGTTTCATGGGAAAATCCATAAATAAATCCCAAAGTACCCATGAACTTTGGAGAAAACTACAAGTCACACCCCCATAAACCATATACTTAAAATGTTCGTCATGACAAGAAACCTTGCGCATAATCCATTATTTTATAAATTGCCCTTTAAGGTCGTAATTCCTTTCTATAGGGAACTTTCCAAATACCTAATGTTAAAAATACCTCAGCAGTACTTATTTGTATGTTATTCTTTCAACTTATTACCTTATTAAAATCAGGTGTGATTATTTGTTTGTATTACTGTGTTCTGTTTGTTTATTTCAGCTTAACTTAACCAATCAATAGTTTTATTAATACTTGTGAAGTCAAACACTAGTGTTTATATAGTCAATGGTAATAGGCCACTGGTACTATCGCTGATGTAAGTTAGCCTGTGTAAGTTAGTAGCTAGCAGACAGTTTGACAACTTGGAACAAGAAATCAGCTATTTCCCCGTCCTCGCTGTCACGCTCGGCGCTCGCCTTTGCCCTGCCCTAGCGGCCTAGCATGTCAACAGCTGACTGCTGTAAAAATTGGATGATGCGTCCATTGTACAACTTTCTATAGTGTAATATTAAAAATTGTTTTATTCGTTGTGCTATTGTCCACATAGTTTATCCATGTGGAACTTAATACTAATCCTACCATCGCCTATTCAGTCTGAAAAAACAAACAAATTTTACGTCTAATAACACTAGTAGTAATATATTTACACTTATACTGTTGAATAACAAGATTGTAAATGCATATGAAAGATGGTAGGTGGTAATTGATTTCGATTGGACACTCCAATCATCATCAGACCCAATAGGCGATTCACCTATTTAGTTTAATTAAACCAAGATTGATGTCCGTTTTACAACATTGCATGTTATAAGGAAGAAATGTATTTTAAATTAATTTTCCAGGGTCCAAAGGGAGGGGGGGGGCTTTTAGCCCCTGTATGTAGCCCCCCCCCCCTTGGAACCGCCACTGGTCTGAAGCTCTGTACACATCCACAAAATTCCACACACACAGACAGACAGACACACATTGTAATTTAGACTTAACTTGTTATTTAGATCAGCGCAATTGGTGGATGGCTCACATCAACTACGAAAAGTTTGATTAAAAAATTGGCAACAACTTGAACATGGGAATGGGATGTCTAGTTGTATCAATAGTCATTAGTCAAAGATAATACTTTCTCCATACAATATGGTATGGGGAGAAAGTAAAAACTTGTAACGTAAACATTTTAGTGACAGTTTGAAACCATAGCTGTTAGTTAAACCAAATTACATTGAAACAAACTTAAAAAGATAGCGTCTGCTGCTTGACTTTAAACTTGATTTTAAATAAATGGTATCAGCAATCTGACAAATACTTTCTCCCATTAGCTTGCCAACAACCTTCATCATGGGTAAGCGGTGGCACAGAAAACATACTACTATAACCCAGAATGCCAACCGCATGGTAAAAAGCATTAAGTGTTTTGAGAGAGCTTTGCCTGTCAATCCGTAGGCAGCGCCACCAGCGTTGCTATGCTATTGCATGGCAACGCTGGTGGCGCTGCCGACGGATTGACAGGCAAAGCTCTCTCAAACCGCTTAATGCTTTTTACCATGCGGTTGGCATTCTGGGTTATAGTAGTACGTTTTTTGTGGCGGTGGGTGCCTAATTTATAAGAAAAATCACGTTGCATTTACTTTTGAACAGTAATTTTTACAGCAATGGGGGTTCCACTATTTTTTGTTTAGAATTATAGGGACCATAACATTCTAACTTTAATCAAAAACGGCTTTTTCAAAAAATCTGATTTCCCGTTAGATCTATTTTATGGGGTTTTATGGGAAAATAGTATAAGTTACAATAACTTTTGAACCGTAATTTTTTACGGTAATGGGGAGTTGCACTATTTTTTTTTAGAATTATAAGGACCATAACGTACAAATTTTAATCAAAATAGTTTGTTTTTTTAATCCAATTTTCTGTTATTTTATGCGAAAATAACATTAGTTACAATAACTTTTGAACTGTAATTTTTTAGGAAAATGGATTGGTATTATTTTGTTCAGAATTCAAAGGGTTATAACAAACTTAAGTTTTATCAAAATCGTTAGGGCCGTTTTTGAGAAAAATTTATTGTTCTATTATTTTATTGGTTTTTATGGAAAAATCACCGTTAACAATCAAAATTAAAAAAAAAAAAATAATAAAACGCCTTGAGATACCATGGTTTAGTACGTAAATACCAAATTTCATCGAAATCGAACCACAAGTAAGGTCTGTAGCTCTGTACACATCCACACACAAACAGGCATAAATTCAAAACCACTTTTTTGGGTCCAGGGGGATACATCCATTCAAAACTCAAACTCAAACATTTTGACAAAAACAATACTTTCTCCATATACTATGTAGGGGAGAAAGTAAAAAATAAAATACCAAATTCAAATTATGGCTTCAACATTCCCTTCCTTTCAAAATTATCTTTCTCACTACAGAAAATCATGAAAATCCTGTAAAGGGTTGATTCAGAGTCTTGGAATAAAAAAAATCCCTCCCCATTTAAATATATAAGATTCAAAATTAAATTTTGCTATAAATTGATGTTTCACCCAAATACAAATTATGACATTGAAACTTACATTTATACCTTTTCCCCTGAGGAATTCCTGCACTGATTTCACCATATCAACATATAGTTGGTTGCTTTCTCGCAAATAAAAACAAACCAACTGAACACTTTTACGGTTGTTTTCTATGTCCAAAATATGTTGTGTAAACTGACGTTCCATGTTTTGAGTGTTCCCTCTTGAATACTCATGTCCTGTGAAATAAAAGTAATCAATAATCCAACAAAACAGAGAACACACAGCACAAAACTGGGTTGGTCAACTTAAAATATAATCCTTAGTAGGTATTATTAATGAAGTAACAATGGATTCTTTTGTGATAGTTTGTTTGGATGGAAAGTTAAAAATCAATCAATTTTAACACATTGAGTGTGGTAAAAATGTCAGAAGGTGCACCCTAGGGCCTGACATTTTTTAACGTCAGGTCGCAAACTGTGTTTCAATCCATTTACCCTGGGCAAGAGGGGGCTCGAGCCCTACCAGGGTGACAATATAGACGGAGAATTCCGGGAAGTTTGGGTAAATTTATTGAATCAGGAATTATGCGGGAGTTTTGAACTTGCACTGAAAAAACCTGTTTTAGTCTGCAGTCACAGTGAAATTGTGATCGTCATCCGTGAACATGGCGAAATCGATGAGTGATGAGTTTTTCGTTTTGGTGCTGTTTGAGTGCACTTTGCATCAACTCCACTCTTATTTAATGGGAGATTATACAATTTGTAAGCATTTTTTTTTACATAATTCGGACAGCTAAATTGAAATTCCACTGAAACATAAATAATAAAAGCCAAAACTAGTTGTAAAAAACGTGAGTTTCCTTTATATTGATTTTATACAATCAAAATAAACTATACCGAGCCATGGCTCGGTACCTCAGTACTATACACTAAACCGAAGAATCAATTTTTTATAATGAATTATACTCTGTTTCAAACAATATAATTGTGTGTAAATTAACCATTTCAAGTAGATCTGAAATTTTATCTCTAACATAGAAAACACAATCTGAGATTCGATAAGTAAAAGATAAGATGTAAAAGTTAAGTACTCCATTAAGCCACAATAACTTTGAAACCGAAAAAAAATTGATGATCTAATCAGACAAAGTTGTACAGACAAAATTAGATGAATTCCATTTCCCTTATCTGTGTGATATTGCTTGTAAGTATAATCCAAAAACAATAATTGCTGATACATACACTCAACTACTCAACCAACTTCAAACAACTAATTAATCCTTCCCAAGAATGGATATTCTCTTGTCATGTCACATTACCTCTTATGAAATAATTCTTCAGGACAGCTACAAAACAGAATGAAAGTAAAATAATGATGAGTATTATTACTAATGCCATCATAGTACTCCACTGCCAACCTTCTTCGTCGTAATACTCCTTCTGGTTATCTGAAAAATAAAGTACCTAGTGTTGAATTCCATAATATTGTTTATTTTGATCAGATATACCAATTTTGTAACAAACATTGGACAATATGAAAAGTAAATTTAGACAAATAGCACAGAAGATCCTTACATAAATCTAAGGGAAGTGTACTAAAAGACAGTCTGATTAAGACTTCTTGCCTGGTAGCCATAAGGTCGCAGGTTTGATTCTGAGAAAGAGTGTCGCTTTTTGTTTGTTTGAAACTGGACCCAGCTATCCTTGATCATTGCTGGGCATTTAATAAATAATTCCTGGCTAGTGAAACAGCTGACCTTAGTCAGTAACAAAGCTACAGAGATCATCACACTCCATTCTACACTCGAACATTTGGGTTACATTGTAACAGGTCAAAAATTTAACGTGTGGTAATATTTCACGGTCATCTCAAATACGTTGATTTATTTCACGAAAAGGCCACGACGAACGTTGGACATAGTGACGTCACATGGAGGGGATGGCCGTAGTTCTCAACCCCGACGCCAGGCGAGACGATACGAAGACTGGTTAGTGTAGAGTCAGGCGATAATGCTCTATTTATTTACCAGTACTGATTAATATAATTATTTGAAGTTATATTTCCTATTTCGTCAATTACGAATGTTCAAGGCAGGATTCTACGCACACGAGTAAGTGTAGATTCTGTCTTACACTTAGTTTTATTATTTCAATTTGTGTTAAACACACTGTATACACGTTATATCAACCAACTAAAATTAGTTACAAACGACTGTGGTGGTTGACCGAGTTATAATTATTAGTTTTACTGTGGTGTAAACCAAGTACAGATTCTAGTTTTATAAAACCTCGTTAAATTATTCCGTCATATTATTATTTGCGCGGTATTTTAATTCTAAATTCGATCTGAACGCATATTTCGAGTGGCTGTAATAGTCACTTGTTAAACGTAAGCCAATATAGTTATTAGCTTTGTTGTAATTATATTCCGAGTCTGAGTCAATAAACTCGAAACAACAATTAATTAACGAACACGTTAAAATCCTGGACTATCTCATTTTAGGCTAGGCTATCTGAACAAATGTTAAGGTGTGACAAATTTCAGGTGAGACGGCTATTTATTTTAAAATCTAATTTTGTCTCTCTGCCCAAAATTTCATCATAACATACGCAACTAGGTAGCGTTCCCATCTCAATTGATAATTAATTAATGTTAATGATAATAAATACAATTTATATTCCAGTAAGTCTAGTTTACTCAAAAATGTTTGCAAATAGCATTGAAAACATGCAAACTAATGTTAACTAATAGCATGTATGAAATAACCCCTGCTGCAGCAAATCTACAGACTAACAAAATTTCCATTTTCCTAATTTAATTTTTACTAAAATATTTCCTTAAAAATATCAGATTTATTCCATATTGAAATGCAATTTGGTTTAATGAGTACTTGGGTTTGCTGTTACAGGGGAGGTTAAGTGTGATTTTTTGTAAAAGGTTACCTAATAGCTTAGTATGACAAAAAATTTACAAATTTGATCAAATTTTAGGCTACATACATATTTAATAAACAACAACTACAACAGGTTACTTTTTCTCCATAAAGAATAACATAATAGTTTTCATTTAGGGCCTACATTATTTTTTCTTTGCAGTCATTAACCTCACAACACTTCAGTGTATAAAATTATTTGTTTTGTAAGCTCTAAAAACCGGTTTGGAATTGCAAAATTGTATGTTTTGAGGGTCAAAAATGGAAAATATTACTTTTACTCACATAAAAACCCGTACCATTGTTCAATCATGCTGGTTCGCAAACTCGAATAAACATAGGTTGTCACATTCAAAGTTTGGTTTCCAAGTTTATACCAAATTTCATACAAATCAGTTGATTTTTACTCGAACTATCGTGCATGGTGTTATTGGCCTATGGGGACATTAAAACGAAAAAATTCAATCCCGGGTGTTGGTCTTACCAAGATACCTACGGTAATAGCTTTCCAATGAAAAAATTTAAAAGTAAATTATTATAATCATATGTTGTAAAGAACATACCTTCCATAAAAACAGAATTTGTACAAATGGGACAGCATTCTCCAATCTGAAAAACAGCATAATGTCGAGTGTATATTTTACTTCAATTAACACAAAGTATATTCTATATATATAAAATCCAATGTATCTTTGTTTGTTTGTTTGTCCTCTATGGACTCCAAAACCGCTCGCGAAACCGCTCGACAGATTGTAATGAAACTTTCAGGCATTATTAAGGCCTTTTCACACCGGCGTACTGGACGTACTGTACGTTTAGTACGTTTGGTACGGCCAGTACGCGGTCCTTTCACACCGCACAGAAACATCCAAAACGTACACTTGTTCGTTTGCAGTCAGACCCAAGTAACACTGGCTGAGCACGTGGTTTTGTTTTTAAGTGGTCACTGCGCATGCAGGAGCCCATGTACGCCACATGTACGAAAAAATAATCTAAAAATTTATAATTCTGAGCAATGTACAGACAAAACTCTAATTTTATTTATATAGATTATGTGTTATTGATTACAAAATTAGATAAATAATAATGTAAACTTACTGAAGCAGTGACACAGTAGTTGTGTGAAGGTATGCAGTTGTTGATATAGAAGGGGTGTGTTGTCTAAAATCAAACAAAAAAGATCACAAACCTTAGATAAAATACTGTACATTTAGGTTTTCCTCTAACAATAGCATTCAAAAGGATTACAATAATTAAATATATCATTCTCAGTTGGTCTACAAACTGAAGTACAATTTATTAAGATAACATGTACATTTGCAAGCTATTTTACAAAACAGTTCACTCGTTATACTGGAACTATCAGTTTTCTCGTTTTCTGTCATGTCACGGGGATGTCCGGCAAGGAAAACCTATTTAAAATGACAGCTGTTCAAAATTTTTTGAATGTGGTATTTTGAATCCCTAAACAGTTGCCATTTTTGACTCAGTTGCTCTCTTGTTGTGGCAATGTATTTGACTAATGAAGAATATAAAGTAATTTCATGTGCATATGGACCTAATGCTTACGTTTATTATTTCCTTCCAACTTCTAACGGAGGTAGCGTATATTAGCATTGCAAATTCAATGAATCTTTGAACAGCTGTTATTTTTTACTCGGTTTTCCGTTTGAGTTCGGGTTTGAAACATTGTATTTTACTAACAAAGAGATGAGTTTGATGTGTATGTAGCCCTTTGTGCACGTTTAAGATTTCCTTCTGACTCCTTGCGGGACGTCCCCCTGACATGACAGAAAACTGATAGTTCCATCAAAAAGTAGATTTTTAGGTGTGTTTTGATGTACCAAATCTTATTGATTTCTTATTGATTTATCTGTCATCAGTCAGAACATATTAAGCCCATACGGGACAGGACTCTGCATATTTAAAAATATTGTAAAATGCCAGTATACTTATTTAGTTATTTAGTTAAATATCTTTTTAAGGAAAAGTTCAAACCCTGATCTTGATTTAATAAAATGTCAGCCTGTAGACTGAACTAAACCAATCTTTACTAGAGTTTAACAAAACAATAGAGGTTATATTTGTATCAAAAGTAGACCGAGGTAAAATATAACCATACACATTATCCTGAGTTACGCAACATTATTATTTTACTTAGACAGGTGTTAGCAAAAAATGAAAATTATACTATTGAGGTTTCAGTGTAATTTTGTAAAATAATAGTTAAAAAGTCTCACGTCAGGCCAGAAATCATTCTCTGGGATTATATCACAGCTGTTAATGTCTCCCTCACAGCTGATGGTGCAAGGTCCGTGAAGAATTGTCAAGTTCAATGATACTTTGACATTGATGGGTGGTGTTAGAGCAAGCCGGATCTTTCTTCTGAAAAAAACACATACGTTAAAAACTTAAAAAATACAGACCCATCAGCCATCAAGTATGTCTACTGCAAATTGATCAGTTTGAAACTTATATGAATACTTGGAAAATTCCACAATACCATGTGTCACGCTTGTATGCAGCACAATGGAGATTAATAAAGTAACGGGTCACAAAGTAATAACAAGTAATTTGGTTTATGTGCCTTGGAAGAAAAATAGTCTTTTCCAGTGGCGGCTCTATGACCTTGTCTAGGGGGGGGCTCCGGGGGGTTTGGGGGGTGTGGAGCACCCCCCAACATAAGAGGGGGGTCCGGGGGTCCTCCCCCGGAAAAATTTTTAAAATTTTAAAGCCGTTTGGTGACTTTCTAAAGCAATTTTAACGTCTAAAACTGTGTCCAATAATAGTCCAAAAACTCCCATTTCACCTGTTGTTTGTCATGCATGAGCAAATAGACATAAGTAGAATAAAGTAAAGTATATTTTTTAAATAGTTTTTACCAATTTATTTAATAGATCAGATTTATTATCCCAATAGAACTAGGCCTATATTAAATATGAATAGATATTGCAAAACATAACAATTAATCCTCTATTGTGGTTTCTATTTCATAATTCAACTTTTTAAACCTAGTTTTAATTTGTACTTCTCAATTTCGGAATTTTGGGGGAGGGGTTTGACTCTCTAACTCCCCTCCCTGCCTACGGCCTTGTAAAACGGGACTACACTGTATTGAAAATATAACTAACAATTGATAATTTAATAGTAAAAAATCCACGGCAATAATGAGTAGATAACCAAACGGTAAGGCCTGACAATGATTGAATTGTATAATTTAAACACCCACGGCAATAACGAATAGAAAACCAAACCATGAGGGTAAGGCCTAACTTTAATTGTACTGTTTGAATGTGAAATCCATCCTCCTTTCTTTCTGCCCGGCGAAGTGATCTATTACTTTTTCGTTGAAGTTTAAAGTTGACAACAGCTTTTTTTCGATAGAACACATAGCAAGCGCACTTAGTCTGTCTTGTTTCATGGTACTCCTGGTAAACGTTTTAATTCGTTTCAAAGTAGAGAAACAACGTTCACTTTCCGAAGTAGTCATAGGTATTGTGCTTATGATTTTTAAAAGTTTGATTGACTCTGGAAGCACATCTTTGAGGTTGTTGTCATAGACAAAGTTGAGTAGTCTTAATGACCCTGTGGCCGTTGAAAAATCATCCCTATTGTAAATAACATTTAACTCCTGTTTCAATTCAGTTTTATTTAGGCTAAATAGTTCCGCAGCAGCGTGTAACTCTTTTTCGGGAAACTTGGTTTTAAACTCCCCAAACAAACTTGGCTGAAACAGTTTTGCCGCGGACAAATGATTTACAAACGTAAAACGGTCATCAATTCCCGACGTAATTATGTCACACACTTCCTTTGCGACGACGCGTTTTTGATCGTCGTGTCTTCTCCGCTTTTTGCTCGATTCGGGTTCACTATCTCTCGGTTGATCTAACATGGTCGAGTTTCTTACGCGATCTACCACAGTTTTGAAATCGCCTACAAACTTAAACGCCTTGACGCAATCAATTGTTGTTTGCTGCAGTTGGTTGTACAGAATGTCACTGTGGGGCAGTATTTGATTGAAAAAGTCCAGCCAGAAAATAAAGTCTTCGTCTTTTAGAATACTTCTTAGGCCAACAGCTTTATTTATTGTGGCATAGTCATTGGTGTCATCGTCGAGTATGTAACTTAAACATTCCTCCAACTCTCTTTGATAATTAAAAATTGTGCTTACAATTCTGGATTTAAAATTCCACCGAGTACCTGAGCTTTTTGGAATACGACGTTTTACTATCTCATCGAGAACTGCAGTTCTCTTTGTTGACTGGGAAAAGAATGATGAAAACCCCTCGATATTACTGAAGAATATCTTAACCTGCTTATTTTGTGTAGCACTGCGTTCAATGATTAAGTTTAATTGATGTGCGTAACAGTGGACAAAATTTGCATTCTTATATTTAGATTTTACACGCGCTTGTACTCCCGTGTGTTGGCCACTCATTACGGAAGCCCCATCGTAGCTCTGGGCAATGACTTTATCAGGAGTTTTGTCGAGGTTTAATTGCTCTAATACTTCAAAAATTGTTTCGCTAACTGATTCTGCATCATGGCCTTTTGGTCTAATAAAAGTGATAAATCGCTCGTGAATCGTGCCATTCAGCTCGTACCTAATAACAAATACTAGTTGGGATAAAGTGGCACAGTCTGTTGTTTCGTCGGCTTCAATAGCAACATAGTCGGTTTGTGTCAATTCGTCACGAATCATTTGCAGACAAACGTAATATATTGAGTCCAATAACTCGTTCTGTATGGTTTTAGACAGACCCAAAAACACTCGGTTATTTGTTTGATTTATGTGCTGTTGCAATGTTACATCCAGCTCCGCCATAAGGTTAACCAAACCACGAAATATGCCAGGATTTTTTGAATTTTCGCGTTCATCATGTCCTCGTAATGCTAATTCAAACGCTCCACAAAATTTAATTGCATCAATTAGCTTACTTAGAATGTATCGATTTTTCGAAACATCTTCATTTTGTTTTTGTATTTTTAGCCTATATGCATTGTCCAATTGGCATCTAATATCAACTTTACCTAAAACAGCATATTCTATTGACGCATTTATGTGTTTTTCACTTGTTTTGTGTTTTTTTACTTTTTCCAGTACTGTAGATGTTTAAGGTCTGAAATCCCGTCTACAGTCCATGCTCTATCTTGAAACCCCATGACCAAACAAGTGTAGCAGAAAAATGAATTTTTAATTGAACAGCCACATAGCCAATCTGCATGATTGTACATATGTGGCGAAAATTTTCGTGTGAAGCTATTCTTATTCTTTGAACTGTTTTGAATTTGGTTTATGTTCATGAAAGGTTTAGGAGGTCCTAATTTTTTCAAAGAAATTCTGTGGTCAATATTTTTGATCCCTTCATTGATAATCAGGCTAACTTCATTAGTGACGTTAGCCGTCGACGACAACGAAATGCCGCCGTCCATTATTATTTAGATTTAGGCCTTCAACCCACGGCAAATTTACCCGTAATAACTTATTAAGACTAATAATAAGTAACTATAACTAAAATTGTCCGAGTCACTTTACCTATGGTTAGTTTACTTCGTTTTCGGGTTGATTAGGTTAGCCTATACTAAAACTACAGACGTAACTTATTGACTCAAAAATACCAACTAACTAACTCAATCAATTAAGTATAACTATTAATAATTTCTACTTAGCTCTTTCAATCTTCAACAAACTACCGCTGCCTTCCTTAGGCCTCCATCACTATCACTAAACACTATTGATCACAAAACAACAGGTCGTTTGGCACTAAACTATAACTGAACTGTGGTCATGGACATGGAAAGAAGTGAGGTTAGTTTATGTTTATGGTAGTGACAGTGTAGTGTGGATGATGGCTCCAGCGCTGCCAACATGGTTCTTCCTATCCTAATCGTGTGTGATGCAGAATTATCCAGTTTAGGGTGGCTGCCCTGATTTATGGATGCGCGCGCAGCTTTGGACTCTGCCCCAGAGTCCCTATTGTAAAGCATTGGAATGACGTCACGGCACCCTCAGCGCTGTTAGGTGTTTCTACCATAACACTACATGCATTGAGTTTGGGACGGAGGTTGCCGCCGTCCGCAATCCACATTATGAAAGCGACTATCGCAAAACAGTCATTACTGGATTCAAAATTTAAAACTATTTCATTTCATATTATTATCATATTGATTAAGTAGTCGTAAGTAATTGTAATTTAATTTTAATTACGACATATTATTTTTTTATTACATAAATAAAAAAAATATTGATTTCTGTATTGTTGGGAGGGCGGCGTCCGAGAGTCCTTATGGGCTAGCCGCTACTGGTCTTTTCGTTTCCAACCATTGAAGCCCTGAGGATTTTTCACTGATTTAATTTTGTCTATTTTTCCTCTCATCTTATGAACACAGCAATTGAAATCCTTTCAAAATAATTAGTACATCACACACACAAAGTTGTCTTAAACCTTCCAAAAATTTGTCGAAACAACCTCCGTAAGTTTGGCTAAAATATTCAACGGTTATTAAGTGATAGTGCTAGAAAGTTTGCACTAATGAGGTCGATCCCAAAGAGGTTCGCTCCTTTGCACCGCTCAATAAATATCATGGAATTATATACAAAAAAGTCATACATGCAAGTGCTTCAGAATAACAAACTGAACCAAAATTCAAAACTCTGATCTTGTATCATACTTACTCATGTGGATGGACTTGAAAATGAATGAAGGAGTTTAACAATTTCTTGCACAAACTCTTTTGATCACTAGTGTAACAATCTGTAAATATTTAAAATATGTAAGTCCTTACTAATTAAATACTAAAAGCACTCCTGTTTTTCTTGGTATTTGGTTTTTCAATGAGAATTAGTGTTTAGATGTAAATTAAGGTAAAAACTTAATATTTATTTAACAACACTGAAGTACTGGGTGGTTTTAACACAACTCTTGCAATAGCTTAAGTTTCCAATAGCACAACTTAAAAACAACTTTAACTTCAAATGCTACTGATGTTGTACAAAATAATATAAACTAATTGTCATTCCCAAAGTCACACATTTTACTAATATTATAAGTGAGAAAATTTGGATGTATGGATGTTAGTGACAAGTAAACGCGAAAAATACTAGTCGGATTGGGCTGAAATTTGGTGTGATGATAGCTCACATTCCCAATTAACATATACACATTCTTATCGAAAAAATCATTTCGGGCTCCACCCCAGTGGCTCTGGAGTTTCCCATATTAACCTTATGAGTAGGGTATTCATATTTAAAATGAATAAAAGAATTTTGTCTGCTGATTCAACTACACAAGTTGGTTCTATGATATTAAATAGCATTAAAAAGTTGTAAGGTTTACCAAAAGGGTGCAGCACTATTCATTTTGGTAATTTAATTTTGTTATACTCATACGCATATGCCAACCCTGTACAAAGGGTAAATTGGGTAAATTCAAAGTAAAATTACATATTCTATAATTAGTTTTATAGTTGAAACACTTTTATAGCATAATTTTTATATTTATTGAAGTATAAATTAACAAAAAAATTAAAAGTTATATAGCGCTTGAAAAAGAACTACCTACCTTCAAATTCCATTTCAACTACACATACGCCAAACAATATTTTGAACACTTCTTGTAACACTACTCAAAAACTTTATCACAACAAACCTTCATGGAATTAACAAGAAAAAAATGCAAGTTTTCAAAATCATGTAGCACAACAGAGAACCAAAAACACAGCCAACGCCCAAAATTTACAACTGCTAAACAAGCAGAGAAACAACAAACCTAAACTGTTTGTTTAAAACTCTCTAAATAGTCTCGCGATACACAGCCTTGATTACACCATCAACTCTTCAGAAGATCTTATCTCTTCAGGTTTCAAGTAATTCAATCAGTATCTTTTTATTTTTTACGATAAAAATTCAGTTACATGTTAGTTGTATGTAACTCTCTGTAAATTACCTCCACTTAAACAATAATTCTAGTTATGCCAGATATATATATATGTATATACTTTTTGCTCAGTTTTTATTGCCATGGACTTTAAATTTTTTTAACTGTCAATCGTAAGGCATACATCTTGATGCTAGTTATTTATTGTATGAATTGAAAAAAAATTGCTTAACAAAAATTTTTTTTCTTCCAGTTAACAATGATACTGCACTTATACTATATTGAAATGAATAGCGATTAAGTACCTATTGATTGGATTGGTAAATTATATTTTATTTTATTGACCGTTATTAGCTGATTACTTTATTTTGTGAAACTGTCGCTGGTAAACCTCTTTTATAATTTGAATTATTCTGAAAAAAGTTTCTTCTTACACAATTTAAATGCCGTTAGTAGGAATATCAAAAACACAAAATCGTATACAACCTTGTATTAAAAAAGAATAAATTATTTTAACTGTAATCAATTTTTAATACAAAGATATTTAGGTTTTATCAAATTATTAAGTTCTGGTGCTAATAAATATCACTAATGTTATGTTATGTAGGTACATAGAGCAGATTTATTAAACCGGATCATTTTTTGTCATACAGCAGCAAAAACAGCCATTTTTAATGGATGCGTTGCAGGTCTAAAGTAGCATTTTTACCATAGACAAACCAACACAAGTAGACTTCTCATCCCATTGTAAAATTTTGAGGCTAGTTTTTCGTGTCTAGTTCATGTACGTCGACACTGATTGCTAGTGTAGACAAAATTTGTTTTCTATTATTTTAGGGTTATTTTAATGACATGTGCTTCACTGTTTGGTTATATAACTAGGAGACCAGTTATTGTTTATGATTGGATTGTTTTATTTAGTTAAACAAGCTTTTTAATTACTAAAATAACAAGAAACAAATTGCAAACAAAACACAACCTCTACGGAGGAACATACAGAACTAACAATAAAATTGGCTTCAGCACCTGTTCCATAAGGATGAGAAATGGGAGAGTGTTTTATCTATGTTTTAACTCTCTAGGAAGTAAAAATCGATTTTAGCCCCTAGGGAGCAAAAATCAGCTACAGTATTGTCAACTCAATTATAAAATTTGATTTTAAACAAAATTGCATGTATCGAAAGTATGTATTGATTGAATTGATTGTAGTTAATTGTTCCCTTACTGTAAATAGTTCAAAATGTCGATAGTATAATGTACGTATACTAACAAAATCGTAATAGACGAAACGATTGAATCACTTATTAAACTGCTGGTTCTTTCCATTAACAAATTAAATTTGAAAACAAGTTAGAAGTAGTTTTGAGAGGTTATCTTTACATGAAATCTGTTTTGTTTTTGTAACATAGCCTAGTTTTTTTTTCAAATAATGGTGCAATATGACGAAAAATACAGTTCAATACACAGGTAAAAAGAGTCACTTCAGGCCCTAGTGATGAAATATTCTATATTTATAATAAACTGATGAACACAATTACTTTTGTAAATAAAAAGGTTGAAAACATCATGACTGATCGAACTAAGGCGAGATCTTTTAAATATGTGATATTAACAGAATAAGTAGATGAAATGCAAATTCCACATGACTATGCTAATAAATAAAGCTTACATAAATAAATATTTTATTTTATTGTGAAAAGTTTTATTGTAAATTTGCTATTTTTGTATAGCACTTTATGAGGTAGGTACAAAAACTTGTATAAATTCCACAAAACCAAATTCTTAAGTTTAATCATAGACAAAAAAAATAAATATAGACTGTCAGCCGTGCTGCGGTTACCATAGGTTCTGGCCCACACCGCTGGGAGCGCCGTGACTACATGGTGCTCCAAGCGGTGCGCCAGAACCTATGGTAACTGCAGCACAGCTGACAGTCTATATTTAATTATTTTTGTCTATGATTTAATATAAACTATTTCAGAATGGAATATATTACGTATAGCTATCAATAACCTAATGATACAATACCATGTATATAATATGAATTGGTTTAAAAAATATAATGACACAACAAAGTAGCACACATAAGTTTATAAGTAGTTAAGACATTTTACAAAAGTGAAAAATGTTATAAATTACATACTAATGCACCTTTATGAGTATTATTTACATACATTTATGAGAAAAGTACGATCTGAGCATTGTTGTATAGTCCTTTCACAAAATTTAGGCAGCTTAAGGGAAATGTTTCCTGGGTTACCCGACTACTTTTTTTTAGCTTAATCTATACATCAGCTGTCTGCTGTTGTTTCAAAGTTAGGGTGAGTTGGAGGGGATGGAACAGGATCCCCTCAAACCGCCTAAATTTTGTGAACAGAGAATTTTTTCAAATACACCAAGCTGGAGATTTAAACATTTAATTTATTTGAGCAATTATAAACAAAAAATACTTTTACATATTTAATCGGTTCTCCATGATCATTAACTACTAATTGCCTTCAGCTATTTCATTCAGTAGTGTATCAAAAGACTCAAGAAAAACAAGAATCTATACAAAGTAGAGTAAGTCAGAAAAGTTCTTGGCTACGGTGCTTAAATGATAGAGAATGCAAGCATACAATGAGTAAATGTACAATGTATTTTACATCAATTAGGCTACTGTTTTGTTTTAATTTCAAATAAAATTGATATTACTGGTCAATAAGTCATAACAAAGGAACTCTGCCCTAGAGGCCTTTAGTTTACAACCAAACCAATAACCAATGACCAGGGTAATCCGTTAAAGCAATTATAATTGCTTAAAAAACTACGATGAAATAAATATGAAGCATATAATAAAGTAAAAATGAACTTATCTACATTGATTGTTGTGACTTTTTGGAATACAATTTTTAAGATTCAAAATAAATAACTTAGGAACAATAGCATATAAGTAGTATTGTAGTATATTTAAACATTCTTCTAACCATTCTAAATGTATCTAACGAAAAATGAGTTAAAAATCTCCATTCTAGTTCAATAATAAACAGCATACTTCGAGCAAAGTATACAGAGAAAAACTTAACTTCGTAAGATATAAAAATTGAAACATAGTTTCAACCATATATACACACAAGCCCTATCCGATCGAGCAATATTTGAGCCACCATCTGAGATAGTGAGCAGATATTGAAGATTTTTTTCAAGATATTATAATCAATTTGAAAATCATTCTCAGACATGTCACTGCCCTGATTTTCTAAACTTGGAAAACCCAAATATGTTTATATTTTTTCTTTGTTATTAAATTAAATGGTCCGATAACTTGTTTGGTTTTTTCTAAATAATCGGTTGTAATATTTTGACTTTTGGATTATAGTTAGCAATTATGTGCTTGGTTAGTTAAATTCTTCTTTAGTTTTAGTCATTAGTCTTGATGCCATTCTCGTACAAAACAATATGTATATTGAATTAAGTGATTCAAATCTGAATCTGGAGCATCCTTACTCCAATAAACTGAGGGATATTTATGAAAAACTACCAATTGTCTAAGAAATCAAAGCCTGTTTTTGGTATGTCGTCTGGGTCTGACTCAATGTCGGCTGCTAATAATGCTTTCTTCTCAGTCAGTACCTGTTTGGTGGGGGGAGGAGGGGGCGGAGTCTTAGGCTTGGCTAACGACTTCATAACGGTCACCTGAGATTTGGCCTCCACTAGACTTTGTTTTTCCTCAAAAGTAGACGGAATTTTTAGATTTGTTACTTTATTTTTAATTTTATTCAACAAATTAGACTCTTTGGTTTTGTTTTCGATGATCACAGGTTCTTGAGTGGGGTTGTTATTGATATTATACAAAATTTCTACTTTCTTAGAAGGTGTTTTCGGTGTCTTGTGAGACACCTCTGTGAAGAGATCAAGCTGGCTCCTGGTGAACCAAGAGAACTGGTTGTCGCAAGACATCTGGTAAATATCGTTAGAGTCCTGTAACAACAAAATTAGTTATAACTTTTGACTGCCACTGCCCATCAACAGTTGTCTAATTTATGCTTCATCGTACTTTCTGCCAACATCTTTTTGTGTTTGAAAAAAATCAACTTCCCATAAGAAGAGTTTTACACAATAAGTTCAACCTAGGAACTTATCAATCATGATCAATTATAAACAATTATAGACAATTTTGGTCAGAGTCATTATTAGCTCACAACTTTTTGATTCAGTAAAACGATCGAGAGCTGCAAAACCATTTCGGTCCGTGGTACGAACGCTATTTTTCACCACACCATTCCACTATTCACCACAATAATAATGCACACTGTCAATACAAGTACAAATTTAAGGTTATGCGAAGAAATAATTTGAGGAATCAGCAAAAATAATAATTAACAGTTGCTAGGCAGCGGTGACAATAAAACGATTCTATTGCAAAACTATGGATACTGATTGCGTATTTAATATGCATTCATGTTTTAAGAAAGTAAGCGGGCAGCTGATTTTGCGGCCCTAGGGATGTAAAAACCTGCTCGGTCCCCAAATGACGATGACAGCTGGCATGGCCATCAAAACGTAACTTTCAGCCACCAATTAACATATGTAAAACAGCTAACAACATCATAATGTGGTGAAAAAGAATTTTGCCAGCTGTTTCAACTAAACAAGTTGGTTCTATGATATTTAATAGCATTTAAAGGTTACAAGTTTACCAACAAGGGGCAGCACTGTTATTTTTTTGCATTTATGACAAAAGCTAATTTAACCCAATGAATACAAACCCTTTAAGAAGCGCAATGCCTTTGTTAAAAATTCAGTCTGGGAATATTTGAATTTTGGATAGTTCCTGCGTCATACGCAAGGTAGACTATAGTGAGCGCAAGACCAAATTTTCTCAAACCGTGTCCTCCTCCATCGCAAACACAGAGATCAATTATAACTGCAATAAGCTTTTTATACTTATACGCCAACTCCGTACGAAGGACGCCCGGGTACTCTGCTAGTTCTCTATAAGAATAACATGGAAAGTTAAGTTTACAACTTTTTGTATTTTCTCCTTTAGCCAACTGTAAAAAGATACATACTAAAATTATTTGTTGTTTAGGCTCTTTAAAATAATTTAAGGTAGAGAAATTAGGAAATTTTACGTTTTGACGGTTAATATTGAGAAAAAACTATTTTTACCCCATAAAACCGCCTATAAACCCCCTTTCCCATGGTCTAATCATGCTAGTTCACAAAAACTCATTCAAGTTTATCCTGCACTACACCTTCAAGCCAAATTTCATCAAAATCAGACAAAAATTACTCAAGTTGTGTTCACGGACGTATACATATTATATATATATATATATATACAGGGTTTTCATCAAATATAGTGGGGTTTATTAATTAAATAAAAAGAAAACAAAACATATACAAAAAAAAAAAACGATTTATTTTGTTGAGTTCCTGACATCAAACATATTTTGTACATAGCTAATAAACTTCAACATTACAACAATTTTTTGCTCTACAGACGTCCAGATGATGATCTATTTCAGCTCACATTTGCAACATTTCTCTTGCGGAGATTCTCAATGGACTGCATTTTTGGTTTTTTCTAGTAGATGGGCTGAATTTGGAGTTTTTTTTTTTTTTGGGACATCCTAAATGACCGTTATAATAGAGTCACTGACTTGAGTAGGCCTACATTTAGTTACACACTTAGCCTGCCTTTTTTTTAGTGTGGCCTTGTGACGCATAGCGGCACGCTATATTTCTTATAGTGTCAGCGCTTCGTGTGGCAGGGCTGCATGGCGAACTCGTCAGCCCACCGCGAGCAAGCAAACGGCTTCCCCCGCCGACCTTTCCCAACCTTCTTCCCACTTCGACCCCGTCCCTGTCGGCAACTAGAACTGTCTGGAAAGAAACTGGTTGTCCACTCCTCAGAAAACTCTAACTCATCTTAATGGCTAAGTTATTAGTATAATTATCATAGTAGTTACAAAGATTAATATGTCAGGCTAGTTAGCAACAAGGGGGAGACCTACAAGGGTCGTCCCGAAATTAGAAATGTAGGAATTAGGAAATTTACTGGTCGAGCCCTTCAGGCTCGGACCATTTTCAACATGATTAGGGCAACACGTTTTCCCCAGAAGTTTTCCTTAGTTCTTCTCAATAAATTCTTAGCTATTTCTGATTTAGGTATTTCAATCACCAGTCAATCATTTCATTAACAGTCATTTTATAGGTCACAAGTTTTGGAAGGATAGTTTAATAAATTAGTTGTATAAGCGTAAATCAAAGCTGGCTATGCAAGCTTCCGGTCTGGGTAAAAGATCTCTGTCCTCTGGTCCCCAACACGTCTTTCATTAATTAATTTGGTAGCAGAATCAGCACGCTTAATTTAGTTTTACACCCCCAATCAATCAGTAGTAATCAGTTGACCCACCAACGGCAACAGCCTTAGTAGGGCCTATGCTTAAAAAAAACATCCCACTGTAAAACTCCCATAGCCTACTGTTGGGAGACAATCAATTATCTCCACAATCACAGATGGTGTTCATGAATTTGATATGATCAGGGGAGGTGATCATTTATTGAGATGAAACTATTCTTCAAGCTAATCTCTTTAAATTTTTACAATATTTGTATCAATTGTTTGGTATTTATATTTCATTAAAATACATTTTGTGTTATGAAAGTAACTTACTTTTATTAGTTTACTGTAGCCTATACTCTAGAAACTATGACCTTTGACTATTCATACAACTAGACATTCCATCCCTATGTTAAAGTTGTCGCCGGTTTTTTTTTCCATCAAAATCGTTGTAGTTGATGTAAGCCACCGACAGATTGTACTATAATCTAACTTACAGATTTTTGTTGAATAGAGGAACTTTTTTACCTAAACTGAAGGAACGACTTATTATGAGCTAGGCCTATAGCAACTATTATGACCCATCAACCATGTTAGTAACAAATAATAAGGAAGAAAATGTAAATTTGACACTAGCCCATTCTGTGACTATTTTCTCTGGCTCTAATTTCTTTTTTAATCAAAAATTAGCAACAGCTGGTCCATATATAAATAGGATGTAACTTCAGTATCGAAGAGTCAATGCTATGACGTACACCAACATTAAGTATTAAAAAAATATTGATAGGCGTACTCACATTTTTTTTACAATTGGAATATTTTATGACTGCAGCGGGATCTATTATCGCCTCATCTAAAACTTGTTGCTGCTCGTGAGGAGACAATGTCTTCCATAGATCTTGATAGGCTTCACGGACTGAATCTAAATCTTCACCAATTTTCTGGGCCAGGGCACTGGTAGATCTTAAATACTGTTCTGTTTTTAACTCCATTATAGGCTGAAAAAGAATTTATTTGTTTATTTCCCTTAACGGGTACACCATATTAGCCTACAACAATATCTAAATGGATATATATAATGCATGTGTAATTTATAGATATTTTTTTAACAAATGTCACAAATGTAAAGTTATATGTTTATGGTCTGATTACATATTATCAGACCACGATGGACAAGTATTAGAGCTTGACATTGCTGGTAGTAAATTAAAACCAAAGGATAAATTCAAAATTAAATCTTGCCAAAATTACAGTTTTTAAGAGAACATCGAGATGTTTAAATTTAAGTTGCAGAGTGAAAACTAGATGGATGTTTATATGGCCCCTACAGAATGCAAATATTCCATATTTAACAATTTATTTCATCAATTATTTTATCGAGTGTTTTCCAGTTATGAATTTATAAACTGGTAGCAATTTTAAGAAAAAATGGATGAATTATGATTTAAAGCTAAAGGGGGATGTTATTGTTAATTTAAGTAAGGGAGCTAGATTATTAAAACAATCCACATGTAACGATCTTAATATCTTAAAGAAAAACTATAGGCTAAATCAGATCTCTTAAATGCAAAAAAAGAGTAAGTATTACAACAACAAAATTAAGCAATCACCTAACACTTCAAAAACTGCTTGGTCAATAATAAACAAAGAAATTCACAACAGTAAAAAATAAAAAGATACTGAGGGCATTGTGTTGAAAAATGGTGAGAAGCTGATAAGCAGACCGGAAGAAGTAAGCAACTTCTTTAATTCATTTTTTGCACAGACAATGACAACAAAACCAACTCAACCATTTTTCTATAGGCCTACTCAGGATGACAACTAATAGTGGATTTTTCATTGAATTCAAATTTTTATCTTAAACCCGTATAACTGACACTGAAATAGTTTCAATTATCATATCTTTTAAAAACAAAAAAAAACATCTGGCTATGATGGCTTAGTCACCATTCTAAAGGAGGTGGGAGACGTACAACGGTCCAGATCTTTGTTTGGGTTAATCCCCTGATTTATGGCCTGAGGGTAGTGGTCACCGGAAAAGGGGTGGGGAATCGAGAATTCTGAATCCCACCGGAGGTGGTAACTTTTTGTCAAAGATTTCGCTTAGAATGTGATTACTTCTTAACTGTACATCTTTTGTTAGAATTTAAAGCATTTATAATTTTATTTTATGATCATAACTATTTCAAAATTCATGTTTTCGGCCCCTGGACTATATTGTTAAGACAATAATAGGTTTTTTACATACCTCAGTCAAATAGTCCAAAAATGGTATTGCTCAACAGCTTACATGTTTCGTTGCGAAGACAACATTATCAAAGCTTGCAACTCGTCAAAAACACATTTAAAACACGAACACGAACACAGAAGACATTAATACGGTACGAATACACAATTGACATTTAGATAGCGCTATCATAATACTGATTTGGTCCGGCGCGGCGCGGGGCTGGTAGCAGACTGGAGGTCACGTCACGTCGTCTCCTCTACTGTTATCACTGATGTTATCAGATCTTCGATCAGCTGTTCCTGAGTTTAATATTGTATTAAAAATCGAGTGAGACTGGAACTGTAATTTTTCGTTAAGGATGTGGTCCTTACACTGTTCGTCATTATAAATTTTATAAATCTCGAACTCCTCCAAGGTGTCAAGTTTGCTACCTTTCCCACAGACATGTAGAACTTTTAAACCATCGTCAATGCTACTCATTGAGTGATTTGAATCAACCAGGTGTTGTGCGAAGGCTGATTTTTGTTTGACCATTTTTGGAGTTGGCCTATGTTCCCTGTAGCGGGTTTCAAATGCCCGACCCGTCTGGCCTATATATTTGCATGGGCAATCTGGGCAACTGATCTGGTAAACACCGGTGTTATTTAATTTGTTGCTAGACCCTTTATTATGCAAGATGTTCCTAGTGCGGTTGGTGGTTCGGAACGTTAAGTCGATGCCTTGCCTATTTAGTTCTTTTTTAAGGCTGTTTTCTACAGAGTGGCTGTACTCCACGCAAACATATTTTCTCTCACTCTTATCTGGTTTAATATCTTGTTTTCTTATGTTCTTATATTTGCTAATTAATCTGTCTACCAAATCGTGTTTGTACCCATTGGCTGATGCGATAAATTACATCGAGAACAACAACATTTTCTGCGATAAAAATGTTTACAAAAATAAAATCAGCATGTACTTCAGATATGTGGATGACACCATTGTTTTATTCGATGGCAACAATAGGCAATTGAACCTCCTACTCAACTATCTGAATAACATCGCACCCAAATTAAAGTTTACTTTAGAAACCGAGTCAAACAATAGTATAAATTTCCTAGACCTCACAGTCACGAAGAATAACAGCAAATTTGATTATAGTATTTACAGAAAACCAACCACTTCAGCTCAAACAATTCACTCCACTTCTTACCATCCGTTTTCGCAAAAAATAGCAGCCTACAACTCCATGATCCACAGAATGTTAACTGTTCCATTAAGCCCCGATAATTATAACAAAGAATGCTCATTAATAAAGTATATCGCATCAGCCAATGGGTACAAACACGATTTGGTAGACAGATTAATTAGCAAATATAAGAACAAAAGAAAACAAGATATTAAACCAGATAAGAGTGAGAGAAAATATGTTTGCGTGGAGTACAGCCACTCTGTAGAAAACAGCCTTAAAAAAGAACTAAATAGGCAAGGCATCGACTTAACGTTCCGAACCACCAACCGCACTAGGAACATCTTGCATAATAAAGGGTCTAGCAACAAATTAAATAACACCGGTGTTTACCAGATCAGTTGCCCAGATTGCCCATGCAAATATATAGGCCAGACGGGTCGGGCATTTGAAACCCGCTACAGGGAACATAGGCCAACTCCAAAAATGGTCAAACAAAAATCAGCCTTCGCACAACACCTGGTTGATTCAAATCACTCAATGAGTAGCATTGACGATGGTTTAAAAGTTCTACATGTCTGTGGGAAAGGTAGCAAACTTGACACCTTGGAGGAGTTCGAGATTTATAAAATTTATAATGACGAACAGTGTAAGGACCACATCCTTAACGAAAAATTACAGTTCCAGTCTCACTCGATTTTTAATACAATATTAAACTCAGGAACAGCTGATCGAAGATCTGATAACATCAGTGATAACAGTAGAGGAGACGACGTGACGTGACCTCCAGTCTGCTACCAGCCCCGCGCCGCGCCGGACCAAATCAGTATTATGATAGCGCTATCTAAATGTCAATTGTGTATTCGTACCGTATTAATGTCTTCTGTGTTCGTGTTCGTGTTTTAAATGTGTTTTTGACGAGTTGCAAGCTTTGATAATGTTGTCTTCGCAACGAAACATGTAAGCTGTTGAGCAATACCATTTTTGGACTATTTGACTGAGGTATGTAAAAAACCTATTATTGTCAGAACTATTTATCAATTAGTAAACCTTCATTCGATTTTTCATTATCAGCAAATTTGGTTCGTTAGGTTTAGGTTATGACAGTTTAATTTTATAATAATTAACAATTATAAAATAGAATTTTAGGCATTAGTAATTTTATTTTCTGAACAGAACTATTTTTTTGATTAGTAATAACTTAAACCTTCAATCGATTTTTCATTATTAGCAAGTTTGGTTAACTTATGTTATAACAGTTAGCCTAAATGAAATTAAATGTAACTTAAATTTAACCTACAAACGATACGTTTTGACAGCGACAGTGATAGACCTAACAATTTGCCGCGAACAGATCGGCTATGCACTGAAGTACGTTTTCAGGAAAAGCACTTTGCAATTTTTTCCCCTTTTTTCAAAACTTTTACTATTTTTTTAATTTCATTAACATTTGAAGTTTCATAAAATGTCCATGGTAACGCAAGATCTTTGGTAGTTTTTTTTTAAATAGGTAGCATCTTTGGTGGAAAAACACAAAATCCTGTCAAGACCATAACAGACGTTTAAATGAATATTAAAAATAGTTAATATTATTTTTATAACTATGTTTTGCTATAAACTAATTTACTTTTATGACCATTATACAATAAAAAGGTCACTGAGCTTTTGGTATATTTGGTCTTTCTAGAAAAAAAATAAAAAAACTCAAAAAATTTTAAAAAAGCCAATAAAATCTTTTTAAGTTTGTAACTCCGAAAAAACTTACCTGAGACCCGAAAAATCGTTATGTTTTTATAGAGGTGTGCTTCTTTTGTGTATAAAACATTGAAATATGACGATATTTTAATTTTTGAAATTTTTATGATAGAAATCGTAAATGTGATGGTCAGGGACAAGCGGTGCGGTCGTGAATTTTCTGAAATAATCTAAATCTTTCTAAACAATCCTTCAATTATACTGTTAGTTGTAATAAAAATATGTGTTTCAATTGAACTAAACTGTTCAATTTACAATTATATTAAAGTTATTGTCACGATCAAACACACTATAATTCATAAGGCTGGATTGGTCGTGAAATTACGTGTTATTTGGCTCTGTTCTGGCGGTAGCCCTGCACCTCATGTTCGAGGATACAAAGTGGACTTCTAGGTTAATCTAGCAATTGAAATATCTTATAAACAAAAATTAACACCATGACTACGTACGGTCATGGACACACCAAAATTACAAAAAAACACAATCTTTCCTTTATTAATCTTGTAATTCCTCCTTTCAACTCGAAACGACCGGCACTACAATCCTGACGTACACCCCGAACTAGTCTCTAAAACCAACTGACTCCATCGACGCCAGGCTTGCCACTGTCGTACTCCAAAGTTGAAAATTTTTCCCAAATGGTCGGAACGCCAAATCGAGGGACAGACTTATTTTATCATGGTACCTTATTACCTTATTACCAGGTAGTCAGTTTGCAATGACAATAAAATTATAATATGCTCCTTTTTTGTAAGTTTAATAACCATTGATGACATAAAAATATGGCTTTATTTTTATATATTTCGGCATGAATAATTAGTCTAAAAACAGCGTGAAAGTTGGAAAATGTACCCTAGGGACACGTCATGGTCGTGAATTTAGAGACTTTAAAAATACAAAAAAAATACCTAGAACCTATTTAAAACCAAATAAATGTGTGTAACATGTTGCCCCCGTCCCAAAAAATATTAAAACACATAATAATAAAATACAAATCCAGTATCTACGAAGTAAAAGGCCAGGGACATGAAAACGTACGTTTTTAAATTTTCACTCGTAAACGATAAATTAAAGTTTATCCTGACAAATCTTATAAATTCTTCATTTAAAGTTATCACAGGCTATTTTCCAGATCAAATAAAAAGTTCTAGGATCATACCAGTTCATAAAATAAATTCTGAGACCTTCATACAAAAAATCAAGCAAATGTCTGAGAGGTCGAGGTCTGAACATAATGATTAAATTGGTATGGAATGACCTAATGAAGTAGGGCTGGAGAGTGTCAAAGAGGTGTTGTCTGCAAACAAGCAGACCAGAAGGTGTCACAGAGCCTGTTGGTGTAAACAGAAGGAACAGATTCAGACCTAGGACAGACCCCTGAGGTACCCGGTACCCCCCTTAAATAACTGGAGGCACGTTTGGTTAGGTTAGTTTAGAATTGATTCATTTTATTATTAGCTGGTAGATAATGTACCTATAATAGTAAATGTGGGGCGTAAACTAAAGTGTACCGTACCCACATGAGTATCCACAGAAAAACATGTTTTACAATAACATTCAAGGCGGGTACACTTCCATATCTGTTGGCACAAAAAACCGAATGAAAATATCGAATGATATATAGTTTGGTTAGTTAGGCCTAGGTAAGGTTAACCGGGTACAGTTTCTTAACTGGGCTATGCTAATATTAATTGAAACTATCGAATTGAAAATATTGATTAATAATCGATATTTTTAAATATATTTATTATCAAATTAGGGTACAGTTTCTTAACTGGGCTATGCTAATATCGATTGAAACTATTGAATTGAAAATATTGATTAATAATCGATATTTTTAAATATATTTATTATCAAATTAAACTATCTTAACCTAACCTAACCAACCAAACTTGCTGATGGTGAAAAAATCGCATGAAGGTTTACTAATCGGCAGAGGATACACGTCCGGTAACCAGACGTGGATTAGACGTCCGGCAATTACTGTCATAACCTAACCTAACCAACCAAACTTGCTGATAATGAAAAAATCGAATTAAGGTTAAATTCTTTCTCTATAAAAAAATTATAAATGCCAAAAATTCTAATAAAAGATGTACAGTTAAGAATAAATGGTATTCAATGCAAAATCTTCGACAAAAAGTTTAAGTCACAAATGGGATTCGAACCCTGGACCTCTTGCATATCAGCCGAGCACCTTATCCACTACACCACGACCACCGATGGCTTGTCATGGTATTGTTGTAGTAAAGGCGTTCCAGGCTCCCGCAACCCCATGACGTCATTGACGTACGCCTTATCCACGTCCGGTTACCGGACGCGTATCCTCTATGTTACTAATCGAATCGATAGTTTCAATCGATATTAGCATAGCCCAGTTAAGAAACTGTACCCTCAAATGAAACTATCTTAACCTAACCTAACCAACCAAACTTGCTGATGGTGAAAAAATCGCATGAAGGTTTACTAATAGAATCGATAGTTTCAATCGATATTAGCATAGCCCAGTTAAGAAACTGTACCCGTTGTTTGTGCCAACAGATATGGAAGTGTACCCTTCAAGGCTTGTCTAGACTAGGCCTAGACTATTGGAACATACAAATAGACCACTCAGATACCAAAAGAGAAATTATTTGTCTACTTACAAGCTCTGACTTCTCATTTTCTATGATACTGTATACAGTAGTATGCTTATGAAAATTTAACAGAAGTAAATCTCTAAACCGTTTTGACTTTTTCTGTTGCTTCTAATTTAATGGTAAATCTCAATTCAATTTATTTTTATAATTTTCCTTCTCTTTCCCTGACATCACATCACTGACATCAGTCATCACACACATTCTTAACAAAAACAATACCATCCAACAACAACTAGCAAGAGAAGAGAAGAGAAGGCGAAGGCAAAGACAAGACAGCAGACGAGCAGACAGCAGACAGCAGAGCCACTCAGAGCACGCAGAGACTAGAGAGATAGCATACAATTATACAGGGTAACCAACGACAGTACTAGAAATTTAGCTGAAATGATGAGTATATAAATGTACACTTTTACATTTGTATATCTTACTTAGAAATATACTCATATACGATTTTTTCAAGTTGAAATAATTTTTTTTAAGATTCTATATCATTCTTAAAGGCTAAAATGATTACTTGATACTTGTGTGCTACGTCGTTAACCGATAATGTTGGATAGATTGCGTTAATAATATATATGCATTTAAAAAAATATACAACACTACTATTTACATACGTACAAAACTTACGTTAAACTTATTTACTGTGGTGGTAAATAAGGCGAGTTACACATTTTTATGGAAGGGCTTCTAAAGTAACTTTTAGGGGCTCTTCACTCAGCTCCTCCAGCGAGTATAGTGGCCTATTTAGTATTTACTAAGCTGTTTCTGATTGCCGCTTTGAAAAAGGTGATGTTTCATATCCCGCACTTTATCCGGCAAGGTGTTAAAAAGCCTTATGGCATAGCGGGAATAGCTCTTGAGGGCGTGGGTGAGACGACATCACGGCATGTCAAGGTGTAGTGCTTGCCGGGTGTCATAGCGGTGATGAACTTCTCTTCAGTCGAACAGATGGACATTCTCTTTCAGAAGTATTAGGATGTTCAATACGTATTGACTAAAGACTGTAAGAATGCCTTACATTAAGAAGCCTTCTGTGGAGCTATCAAAACATCTACCACTGTACTTGCATTTCCCCATAGAAATAAGCCATATAGACAGTATGCTATGAAAGAGTGCAAAGTATACCATTAGATTATAATAAGCTATGTACAACTTTAATTAAATGCCTTTACAGATATATAATTTCGATTCAGTTTCATGCAAACATGCTCAATATGTACATCCCATAATAACTAAGAGGCTAAATGAACACCTAAAAGTTTCACACTGGTAATCCAAGTTGTATTTTAGAGGAAAAAAAGATATTTTGTGTTTTGGATTCAGATATAGCATGTTTTTGTTACTACAGTTACAGTACCAGTCATTTGCCTGGTTAAGGATCATGGATGCCATCCTTAACATGCAGCATGCCTAACTGGGAAACAAAAGAAACATCATCAGCATGAAATAATTGTCTTGACATTCCTATTGTTACCAAGGTCATTATTAAAATTAAGAATAACAGAGGACCCAGCACCGACCCCTGTGGCACACGATGCTTTACCTCCATACTTTCTGAAAGAACACCTTTTGATGCCGATTACTATGAGGTAGGATTTGAACAATTCATTTTGACAGCCAATAACACCATAATATTTTAACTTTTCAAGCAGAATGTCACGATTGACACAGTCAAAAGCTTTGGAAACAGTACAACTTCAAAATCCTGCAGAATAGGATACTATAGCTAACTAACTGACTGCATCGATCGTGGACAAACCCTGCCTAAAACCAAACTGACTTTTTGCTGAACTGTAGAACAGTTCATGATGATCAAAAAAAGAACTAACCTGATTTTTCATAACCATCTCAATATCTCATAGACTTTAGCACGGCCACCTTTAACTACAGGCCGCGGCCTGGTAGAATTGATGGCAACGTCGCAGACGCAAGTGGTGTTTATTTATTTATTTATAAACGGTTGCACCATTTTTACAAGAAAAATACAATTATTGTCTTACAGAAAGAAGAAGCAGCAGAGGAAAAACAAAAATCACAGGCCAGTACAAAAGTAGTGAAAAAACTGGAAAACAAGACTTCAATAACAAGACATAAAAGATAAATAACAACTATAAATAACAAACTATAAATAACAAACTATAAGTAACAACTATAAATAACAAACTATCTGAACAAGTGTACAAAACAAGAGATTTGAAAAACAAAACCAGTAAGGAACAATAATTATAGCAATACAGTAAGCCGAGTAAAACTTTAGTATAAGAGAGTAAGGCCCCACTATAAAAAACTGTTTGTCTGTCCGTTTGCCTGTCTTCAGGGTGTCCTGGAAACCATCATCCACCGGTGTACAAACAACAAAAAACATTGTACTTTATTTTGTATTTTATTTTGTTTTGTTGACGTAGCTAATGCATTTTATGTTAATTTTGCTGAATAAACGACTTATGACTTATGACTTATAACACCCCAGCCTTGTTATGGGGGGAGGGGTAGCAAACGTGAGTGTGACCTTGGAATGAGTCACAGCGGCCCTGTCCTGCACCTGCTTCATGTCTCTCTCGCGTTTGTTATAATTACTGTAAATGTTTAAACAACGATACCGACTAAACCAGCCAAGCTATTTTAAAAATTTATAAATCTAAATAATTAAAAATTATTGTCCTTAAAATGACTACCTGCAATTTCCATTTTTCATTTTGTAACACAATTATTTTACTATAATTTTTTTTACCAGCAACTTAATTTAAATTGATCTTCAATGGCGCGAATTGTTATCTTATCCCGTTCACAAATCAGTTTTCAAAATGAAAATCGGATGAAAATTCCACCAATAAACACCAACACAAAATGACTCCAGTTTGGTGCTGCGACGTGGTGGCAGAATTTGGAACTAAACCTGGGATAAAATCATTGACTCAATCACTGAAATCATTGGGAAAAAGAACTTCAAATAGTTAAATGTTTAATCTACGATTCCATTGCCCCTATGCATACTCTATGGAAAGCATGTAACAAGCATTCACACTTCATCTCCATGTGACTGACAAATTTTGCTTTGTCAGTTTTGTTTTTTTGGGTCAAGTATACCATATCACGCACGAACCAAAACTAAACTAACCAAGTTGTCACGGAGTGATTTGTGTCTTGTCTACATTTATTTAATTAATCAATTAGGTTAACGATATTTTATTGAAAAAATTCATCGGTTGGATTTGGTTTGGTTTAATTACATATATTTGCTCATTGAAAACGCCCACGATCGGAAAAATGGTATGTTATAGCCTAACTTACTGCAATAGCCTAGGTCTGACTTTCTTAGGATTAGGCTACCTCTAAAATATTCAAGTCAAACTAATGTTAAAAAATTAGAATTTAAGTGTTTAACCCTCGAGGAGGTGCTTCACCGGTAAAACAGGAGCGGGCGCATGCAGAGTTTTATTCCGCAACACTAAATAGCATCAATTTTACCCATTTTACTTGTTGTTAACGAAATATTGTTTGTAAATGTTGAATAGGCCTAGGCTAACCTAATCAGAAACCGAATTTCTTTGTTAATAACATGATTCTTTTAAATTAATATGAGTAATATTTCAAATAAACATATTATTGAGCAATTTTCTAGTAGGCTATAACTTAAAGGTATCACTGTGGGTGTTACGAGAGAGGGCGCATGCAGAGTTTTGTTCCCCAATAATGCAATTATACATATAGCCTACATGCAAACAAAATATTTTATAATATAAATGAAGCAATACATTTGGGTAGAGTTTCTTAACTGGGCTAGGCCTAAGTTATGCTAATATCTATTGAAACTATCGATTCGATTAGTAAACCTTCATGCAATTTTTTCACCATCAGCAAGTTTGGTTGGTTAGGTTAGGTTATGATAGTTAGATATATTAAGAAATATTGATTATTAATCAATATTTTCAATTCAATAGTTTCAATTGATATTAGCATAAGTTAGCCCAGTTAAGAAACTGTAAGTGTTACCCATACATTTAAACATGTTTATATTTTCGTATGTATAAGATATACACACAGTTTGACAATAGCCCATGAGAAAATAAACTCTACGCTACGTGATAGGGCGCACGCGGAGAAAATCTCCGCAAACTGACATCGCGTCCCACTGAATTGCAACTTTACTGACAACAAAATAAGGAGGAATTTGGGGGTAAAATAGCTTTTGGGCATTCCCAGGATGAGGTGCGTAAAGTGTAGAGCCGGACATGACTGCCGACACCCATTATGCATATTTATATTAACAAAAACTACAAGTGCGGAGGAAAACTCCGCAAGCGCCCGCTCGAGGGTTAATTAACCTTTTCATTAAGTTATGACCTATTTTGATGTGAATATTTTGATTCTTGCGAGTATTGTGTATTTACTTTTGGCTTGCAAGATAAAGGTTAGGCCTATGCCTATGGGCAAGACAAAGTACATATATGATAAGCCTATGTCTTGTAAGTGACAATTCGTAATAAATTATTACATACGCTAAACTTTAAGCCATTTACTTTTCCAGTCCATCTTCTCTTATAATGGTGGTGCTGTTGTGGCTATGAAAGGGAAAAACTGTGTGGCTATTGCAGCTGACCGACGTTTCGGGATTCAGGCTCAGACCATCTCAACAGACTTCCAGGTAAAAAGATTAGCCTAGTCAAATGATTCAGTAAAGTTACATTTTTCCATTACCTAAGTTATGGCTCTTTTCATATTATCACGGCTATTAAAATTATGTTAAGTTACCGGTATGGTTAATGTTACCTCCTACTACTAGTAGGCCTACTACAATTTCCTTATTATGAGTCCTCAGCAGTGTTGGGAAGTAGCGACGCTACTTTTTTTGTAGCGTTAGCTGTAGCAGCTTTAGCTGTAGCTAGTTAGCCTACATTTTTAAAATAGTTGTAGCGGAATTTGAGCTACTTTTCTCGCTACCGTACATTAACATTTCAGATTGAGATTAGTGATTGTTATCACAACTTTACGTGAAACAGCCTCTTTCAAACTGAGATTTTCAAAAAAGTTAAGCCTACTTTCTTGGCTTCATACAGCTGGTCGCAGCCGTTTCATTACCTATTACAACATTGCGTGGCCATTATCTGAGTGTTATCCACATTATTGGCTCTCATTTCCTTCATTTGCTCAGGACGACGTTTAAACATTACCGGTGACAAGAAAAGCTATTGAATACTTGCAAGTGATGACAGGGAAATTAGTACCGGTAATCAATTTGGTTTCTTTATTATATCAATAGCTTCAACTTGGGTTTTAATGGAAACCAACGCTAAACCTTAAAATAATTAGAAAGCTGGTCTATCAACCTTTACTTCAGCTGTTGATTGTGGTTTATCATCACAAGTCCTTCCTTGGTTAGATTTTTCAAATGTTTACTAAATTAACTAAGAGGAAACCGTAACCGGTATTCCTACTTGTTTAAGACTGATCCGTCGCTGGGTTTTGCCTGGCACTACTGTTGTAACCGATTATTGGAAGTTTTATCCAGAATGAGGTAAGTTAGTAGGGGAAAAAAGAAATTAAATCATCACTAGGCTTACTTGGAGAAATTTATGTTGATATAGGCTAATGTGCATTAAATCAATACTAAAGGTGAACCAAACAATTTCAGAAAGTTTTTGAGATGGGATCACACCTGTATGTTGGATTACCAGGACTCGCTACTGACACTCAAACAGTAGAGCAGAGGCTTAAGTTTAGGCTGAAGCTCTATGAGCTTAGAGAAGGCCGTGTCATGAGTCCGAAGGTGTTCGCATCTATGCTCTCCAACCTGCTATATGAAAAGAGGTATGATTTTGAATTTTAAGTACATAATAATTATGTTAGTAAAAACTTGTAATAAACTTGTAAGTTATAGGTTGTATTAATAGTCAAAGGTTATAGCCCACAATTAGGTGTACTGTAGCCAATAAGTGATAGTGAGTTTTGTCTGTTGTTTACAAGTACTGCAACCATTTCTGATCATGTTTTGTAAGCAAATCCAAACCAAGGGAGATTAAAAACTTCGTGCCTTACATAAAGGGTGTAAACAATCGCAATTGTAATTATGTGTAGGCCTAACCGTAAATGAAATTAAATAACTAGGCATTATCCGTTGCTTCAATGAAGGTTGTGTAAAGTGTTAAGTAAAAATCACAACTGCAGTGGGTGATCCCGGATTTTGCTGCAATCTTGGAAGATCTTTTTGATTTTGTTGTGATCGTAACAAAATTTTAAGGTTGCTGCTAAACTTGCTTTCCAATGTGTCACTTTCGGTTTCTACACACAGCCTTGTGCTGCAATTGCTGGACCATACCGCCAATAGGCCCATAGTCCATCTCTTGGGTGCGTAGGCCTACCACATTTTGACTACTGTACGGCTCTTGATACCGATACTTTTCCCTAGAATGGCCTACCTACTTAAGAAATTAAATTTCAAATGTAAAAAAAAACTAATTTTGTGCGATTTTTGTCACATTTCCTCCTAATGTTTAGATATACAGTATCAATCACTGTTTAGAGAATACGTCATCTAATAAATAACAAACAAAAGGTTGTTTCTTAAAACTGTCACCAATATGTTTAAACATTAAAAGCTGTTTACAAATATTGCAATTAATAGAAAATAACTTTGATTTCCAGAAACTTTTTGTGAGAAAATTCAAAACCAAGGTACAGTAGACTCCCTCTTATCTGGACTCCTTTTAACCGGACATCGGTTTAACCTGACTACACTCAGCGGAAATGAGATCTCTTTAACCGGACAATTTTTATCAGCACATTGATTTAACCGGACTAGATCGGCTGGAAGTGGGCAGTACTGAAACGACAGTACACAGTCCGTTTTAACGAGTTTTTGGGGACATAGGTTTCACCGGAAAACCCGTTATCGGGACTGGCCTCGGTCTCGAGGAGTCCGAAAAAGAGGGAGTCTAGGCCTGTAGATTAATAACTTTGTGACTTGATTAACGCATTTAATTGGTTGGTAGTACTATATATATAAACTGTTAAGTACCGGTACTGGTTTTTGGTAAGTGGTACTTTTCCTTAGAACTGGCAACTGTACCTGTGTAAGTTTTGCGTTTTCTGTCTGGATTCCAAAATGTTAGTTTATGGTATGAAAGTGTTGATAAAATGATAAAATGATAAAATTATTAAAAGTCTAAAAAACTCCTATAGTACTGGCTACGATGGTATTCCCATAGTTCTTTTTAAAAAAGCTAAATTAGTCCTACTTAAACCAATAGCCCATCTTATTAACTCATCTTTGATATCAGGAATTTTTCCTAATAAACTCAAAATTACAAAATTAAAACCAGTATTCAAAAAAGGAAACAAACAAACAGTATCAAACTATAGACCTATTGCTCTGCTGCCTTCTATTTCAAAAATCTATGAAAAGGTTGTTTATAACCAACTTGTATGCTTCTTTGAAAATAATGGTATACTTGATGACTGCCAACATGGATTCCGAAGGGGCAGATCTGTCATAACAGCTGCCACAGCTTTCATTGAATCCATCGTTGATAGCTTAGAAAGAAAATCTAAAGTGGTTGGGTTGTTCATGGACCTCAGTAAAGCTTTTGACTCCATTTCTCATGAGTTGTTACTTTTAAAGCTCAGTAGTAGTGGACTAAATAGTACTGCATTGAACTGGTTCAAGTCATATCTTTCTGATAGAAAACAATACGTGGAACTGAGTCACTGTAATGATAAAAATTATAAAATTTCTTACAATTCTTGTACTCGGGAAGTTAAATATGGGGTGCCCCAAGGATCGATCCTAGGCCCTCTTTTATTCATCTTTTACTTGAGAAATTTTCCCCAACTAAGTGTTTTGAGCAAGCTTTGCCTATATGCTGATGATGCAAATTTAAAAATAGCCGCAGAAACGTATGCTGAACTTGAAGCCAAGGCCAATTCTGATATATTATTACTTAACAGTTTTTTTAACTCAAATAATTTGCGTTTGAACACAGATAAAACTAATTTTATGTGCTTTCAAGCAGGGAAAACTAAACTGCAAAATCTGCCAAAAATTGTAGTTAATAACAACACAATTCAAAATAAAGAACACATCAAATTCTTAGGATTAGAAATTGATGAAAATTTGAAGTGGAACCATCATATTGACAAGTTACTTTCTAAAATTTCATCTGGCCTATATGCGTTAACAAGATTAATCTTGCACTTTATGGTGCAGCAAAGAAGAAAAAATTAAAATCAATTCTAAAAAAACAAAAAAAGCTATTAGAATTTTATGCAATTTAAAACGTAGAACTTCAGTCAAAGAACATTTCAAAACTGAAAATATTATGACTGTTTATGGAATGTATGTCTATGAAACAGTATTATCAGTAAAAGACAGATTTGATGAATTACAACTTATTGGAGACTACCACATTACTTTACTAGAAATCGAGAGAATCTGGCCACTAGCTCTCATACTCTGCAACTTTTCACGAAAACACCTAAGTATGCCGGTTCAAAATTTTATAATAAACTTCCTAAAGAAATCAAATTGGAAACCTCAAAAAAAAAATTTAAATCAAAATTGAAAAAGTTTCTTATCAACAAGGCTATGTACTCCTTTGAAGAGTTTTAGTTCCATAAGTTATATTGCTTTATTTCATAAGTTGAAACTTTTGGTTTTAAAATAATTTTATCTATTATTTTAATTTTGATATTTTCATGTTTAAACTTTTATATTGCACTGCTTGTTTTACTTTATTTGAGCTGAAAGAATGTTCATATGGATGGTATGTTGTTACGCCATGCTTGATAGTTATGAGTATTTTAGTTAAGTTAGATTTGTTAAATTACTCTTGACGCCATTCCTGTATCTATGTATTGTACTTTAATGAATAAAGTTATATGAAATGAAATGAAACACATTTGAGTGAGACATTTTTTGAACAAACCTTCATGAGATGTTTACGCTTTACGTTGTTTACATATCAATAGTTCCTGGCCTATGTATCGTAAATTACTGTCTGCGGGTAGTGAAATATTAGGTTCGGGCGGAGGTCTTACTGTGCCCACCTATGGTAAATAAATAGCTTCTTCCCTATAGGGAAATTCGCTAAAATGCACACTTAATATTCAAACCAACTGCTGTTCTGAATATAAGAATGTTTTAACTGACTAACAAGATTCCTTTCCGTAGAACAGGAACACAGCTAGTTTCCCATATGACTGGTCCAGCACAATGAATGTGGAATTGACTATAGACCTAGACATTGTTAGGCAGTGCTTTCATTGTAATTTTATTTGGTGCTACTGTACTCCATTCAATTTCCCAGCAAATTGTAACTGTAGACATCCTGTCACACTGTGGACTTGGTTTCACCGACTCAAACATGAATGCATCAGTCAAGTAACGTACTATACATTGCAGGTTTGGTCCCTACTTCGTAGAACCCGTAGTGGCAGGTCTGGACCCCAAAACGTTTGAGCCGTTTGTCTGCAGCATGGATCTGATTGGCTGCCTCAGCACACCAGAGGACTTCTGCGTCGGAGGTACCAGCAGCAACCAGCTGTTTGGCATGTGTGAGGTAAACTAGTTTTGAATTAAGATTTATTGACTGTTAACCCTTCAGGGGGCACACATCGGTGGTAAAGACCCAAAGGCACTAATTATGCTAGAAGGAGAAAGCAGGTTGAGGTTCGCCCTCACAGATAATCCTTAGGGAGAGGTTGAGCAGGAACATGGCAGTGGTTTTGAGGGTTTAGATCCAAACCACTCGTTACAGTACTAAAACAGTCCAAGATAGATCTTTCCACCAATGTCCCCGAGTGGATATCACACAATGCAACATTTCGATAAATAAAAAATCAGAACTTTTTTCTGAGATGTCAACTTGTCGATGGATAAGCTTAAAAAATAAAGAAACGCACACAAATTATTCCAGGCCGCCCCTGTTATACACAAACATGTTTTATTGTACTAGCACCTGGTTTATAATATTTAAATTGTTATTATTAGTTAGAGGGGTCAGGAATTGAAGGGGATGGCCTGGAGTTAAAATTTAAGGGACCCTTGGGCCTTACCTTAAAATTATTTCTTTACAAAAAATGTGTCCTGCAAAACTAAACGTTAAGCTCTTCCAATGACACCAAAAACATGAAGATTGGTTCAGTAGTTTCGTTGAGTAATTGTCACAAAAATCCTGTTCACAGTAAACAGATAACAACCTCTCAGGCGTACGGAATACAATTTCAAAAATAATTAATAGGCCTAAAAAAAAAAAATTTAATAAAAAAAATTATTAATAAATAAATAATTTAGTCTCAAGAGTTGTAAAACAGAACTGCAACTATGATAATATAACTTTAGACACATTTATTGATATTATGTTGATTTAATAAAATCATGCTAAGTTGACAAAAAGGTAATTTTTGTCAACTTAAATTCATGTGGAAATACAAACTATACATGAAACAATTCTTTCAACCGCACAGAGTCATGATGGTGACCTTCTCTACTGAAATAAATCTTGAGTGGTGACTAGCCCTGCCCTACGGTAATTTTGCGGAATAAAACAGTTAAAAACTAAAACGAAAACTGCCGGGACTTTGCACTGACACAACCGCTTTATAGGATAGAAACTTGTCAAGATTCATTCTAAAAAGTAATCTACAACCTTTTAGACCAATTTATATTATGTTTGGAAAGCGTTAGTAAGCAGTAAGTGGTTTTCACACAGTTAAACGTCAAAAACATAATTCGGGACAAGGGATGGCCGGGAAAAAGGAAGTATTTTTGGTCCTATAAATAACACAAAATCACATTAATATGCAGTTCTTTTATTTAACATTCAAGAACACATACCGCTAAACACATTTAGGACCTTAAAATGAAATATTTTACTATGTCATGTATTTTGTGAACAAGGGATGTGATTTGTTGAATTATGTGATATCCGCTCACCCACACTCTTTTAGGCCTACTTTCCTCCCAAAAGTGCTCTCTTTGGACATAACTAAATAAAGTGTAAATTATAAGCTATAAGGTCATATTAGCCCTCATAAGAAGATTAAAATATGTTGATAACTTTTTAAATTTAGTTTAAAAGTAACATTTAAAGTAAAAGACAATAGTCAATCACTTATTTTTACAAAAACAAATTCAGCAGAGCTGGGAAAAAGGTGAAATAGTCATAAACAATTAAAATAAAATACATAACAACTATAACAAAATACTATGCTAAGAAATTATACAAAAACATATTATGTGACTTAATTTGGTAGGTAAGACTAAAGATGGCTTTAGGCGAGGTTTTAAGGATTTTCTAGAGAATGGTTTGATCAGCAAGCTACCTTAAAGACAAAATACTTAAAATAACAAATAAAAACATGAAACCGAATTTTTCGGATTGCTAGCTCCTCTTTCAGTTGTAATATCTGGTTCTTGTTGTATTTTAGGGTCACCGGAATTTTATGCCCCTGGAATTTTACCCCCTGGGCAAAGCTGACGTCACTATGACGTAGTAACCTGAGTGGCCAAAAGTGTGTTCGCGGCCGGAATTTTACCCCCGCGGATTTGGAAGTCTGATGAAAATAGCCAGAGCGTGATTAATTAGATCAGCGATAAAAACCGGAATTTTACCCCCTGTCCATATAACTAGCGTATAGACAACTGAAGATGTACGGGCCGGATTTTTACCCCCCGGAATTTTACCCCCGGATTTTTACCCCCCGAAATTTTACCCCCCGGAATTTTACCCCCGGATTTTTACCCCCCGGAATTTTACCCCCTGGCCGATTTAAGAAATTGAATGATTGATTTTCTTATTTACGATTTAATTAATTGTAAACATTTCATTATTTAGTAGCCTATCTTTATTTATTTTTTAATCTCAACTAAGTAAACAGAATTCGCTGTTTTATTTTGATCATATTAACCAACAGTTGGCTTCAAAGATCGAATCCTCAAACTCGAATCTCAAAATTAAAATTAAAAACCTGTTCGATTAGTTAATGTTACAAATAAATTAAGATAGGCTACAGTACTGAATAATAAAATGTTTACTATTAAATTAAAACTGAATGAAGATAATTAATCATTCTCACTTATTTATATATCTGGCCAGGGGGTAAAATTCCGGGGGTAAAAATCCGGGCCGTACATTCTAGGTTTTTATAATTTGATGTGTTCTGATTAAATTCACAACCGTGAAAATATAGGCTATGTTTAATTCCGCGTTTAATCCATCGAGCTGATGTCGCGAAACTCAAAAGTTCGCGGCCGGAATTTTACCCCCTGGTTTGTGACGTCACGTTTGCCCAGGGGGTAAAATTCCAGGGGGATAAAAATCCGCTACCCTGTATTTTAGTCTGTTCTAGTTGTGAGGTAAAGTCAGGAACAACCAGAACAGCCAGCAACAAGAACAAAGGTTGTAAAACGAAGCTATAAGTACATAGTTTTGTGTTTTTTACTTTAAACTCTTTGAGCCACCTGTCCTACCTTATCTCTTTACCCAATCGATGTTTCTTTGTATAGCAATATTTGCCATACTGGTTTGCTTACAGGTGCTGTGGCAGCCAGATCTAGAGCCTGAGGACCTGTTTGAGACCATCTCCCAAGCTCTAGTCAACTCAGCTGACAGAGATGCAATGGCTGGATGGGGTGCTGTCGTTCACATCATGTGAGTTACTGTCATTTCAGTAACTATAGGATTACTTAGTTTTGGTTACCAGTTTTTCAACACAAGTTGAATTACCATACAAACTGGTTTCTTAATCCTATGTGTTGGGTTGGTCGAAACCTATATTTGCATGACATTTGTTAATGAGCGTATGTTATTAGAATACAGTACAGTAGAACTCCAATTATCCGAACTCCAAGTAACCAAAACTCCAATTATCCGAATCGCTTATTTCAACAATTTTAAAAACGTAAAGCTACATTAATAAGTTTTGCAAAATATCAAAGAATTGTTATTAAACACATTTAGCCAATTTTGGACATTGATGGAACACTATTGACTTAATAACATGTATAGAACACTTGTACTATGAGCATTGTAAACTGTAAAAATGTTCTGATTTAAATTATTATTAATTAAAAGTTCACTTAGAACCGAAAATGAGGATTTTTCTTTGAAATTCCCGGAATTCCGGTAAAACTCCGATTATCCAAATTTTTGATTATCCGATTGGGGTCTGGTCCCTATTGATTCGGATAATCGGAGTTCTACTGTACTATTAAGTTGCATGTTGATATCTTTTTGCCATCTTCAGTTATCAATAAGAGTTAATTTTGTTTCAGAGAAAAGGATAAGGTCACAACAAGAACAGTCAAGACAAGAATGGACTAATTTATGGCTTACTTATATTTTTGTGGATTCACATTTTCAATTCATAAGTTCTAATAAATTTTTTTTTCAAAATTGTATTGTTTTTATGTTGTGTTTTATGTATTTTGTTGTTTTACCTAACCCGCCATGTTAAACTTCCCTATCTCAAGCATGATGTATACAACTTCCTTACTTCTCGAGTGATGTAAAGTTGAAAAAAACTCACTCGGTGAGGTAATGAAACCCATTTAAATAACATTGAGTGCTTAACTTAAAAAATATACCTCTATGGAGCCAACGACGTTTAACACTAGAAATCAGCTGTGCGCTTGAATGTTATTGTTATGCTTTAAAGTATTTTCCTAACCTAGCTTTTGTTTGCAAAAGAACGTCACTGTTGAGATGAGTGAAATGGATAGTGAAAAATATTGTACGTAATCCCATGTATATTGTCGGGTCAGGTAAAATCTTGTACGTTACGCGTTACGCAAGAGCGTGTTTGCATCACTTTGGTGAATTATGCAACGAGCTTCTGCTCGTTGCACAACATTCACCTGCGTGATGTAAAAACGCTCTTACTACACTTGTAATGTAAATAGCTATTATTGTTTACTAGATCTGATTAACACTCAAAATAATCTGAAAATATACTGTTTTTTTGTGAACAATATTTTATGTAACAAAATGAATTGACGAAATGTAACAACTAGATGACCTTTTCACAGTATCTAGTCTCCAGGAAAACCAGGAATCCTACATGAATTTAGTATTGCCAAAAGGCCAATCACCGGACAGTGTTGCCGCGATCTCTAGACACGAACAGCGGTGATGCCGCAAGCTATGGGTGATGGCGCAGTCGCGGGTGACGATTACTGGTGTCGCCGAAACTGCAAGATTTGTGATTTGCTCACGGGTGTTGCCGCAGTTGCGTGAGACGACCACCGGTGTCGCTAAAATCGTGAACATCATCAAACCTAGGGGTCGCTACAAACAACACAGTTCAAACCCAAGCCTAGTAGTTTTTAACATGACTTTCAGATTGCAACACAACTCATACAAAAGTATGGTTACAATAAAACTGCTATTGAACTCATAAGTAAACTACTAAGTAACTAAGTAAACTGGTAGTAAACTTACTAGCATAGATAAGTGGAAGATTAGTTTTGTTATTTATTTTTGCATATGATGAATTTGTGTTTGAAGCTCAAGAGGTTAAGCTTGGAAGTGTTAAAATAAAATCGCATTGAAGTACTTAAAATAAATACTATAAAGTTGTTCGTAATAATTAATTTTAATTATTTGATAATTAATTTAAAAAAAGTTTGAAATGCGCAACAGCAGCCACATTGCAACAACACGTTAACGGATTCATTGTTTTACTATTTGATACAGAACCACTGTTTTAAGATATTGTGCAACACAAACTCACTCATCCAGGGCTACCGAGCAACTGGTCATTTATCTGATAAAGTGTCGTAAAGTGGGCGAGGACCACACATACGATAAGAATATCGTACGACACAGTATCGTACGACAGAACTCGTATAGTGGGCGAGAGGCCTTACTGTAGGAAAAATAAATTTAACACTTGTAGACTTGTACTTTTTTACCCACACCAATTGAATAGCAGCATTTGGATGATAAAAAAACATTGATGAAATTTTTTTTTTATGTCACTGACTTGGCAATTTATTTTTAAGCAATGTTTACCTTTGATTCAACAAATTGTTGAAAACAAGTACTCATTTTGGAAATTAGGAGCTGGATAGCCTAACAATTGATTACTGTTTGTAAATTTAGAAACCAAGGATTTATAATTAAGTTTTTTAGTTTAAAGATACTAGTAACAAATAAACGGCATCATCAATCTGACACATACCTTCTCCCATAAGCTTGTCTACAACCTTTATCATGGGTAAGCGGTGGGAGTAACTATGATAATTTTATAGGAAAAAATCACAAAACCTGCAATTGGATCGTAATTGTTACAGTAATGGGGGTTGCATTATTTTTTTTAGAATTATTAGGACCATAACACATGATTTTAATCAAAACCGGGGTTTTCTCCAAAATCAGATTTTTTGATTTTATCGGATTCTTTATGGGAAAATAACATAAGCTACAGTAACTTTTGAACCGTAATTCGTAATTGTAATTTCGTGGGATTCATACTATTTTGTTCAGAATGTAAAGGACTATAACATACTAATTTTTTATAAAAATCGTTAGGACCATTTTTGAGAAAATCTGATTTTTTTTGTTATTTTATGGGGTTTTAGGGAAAATCCCCATTAGAAATTAAAATTTCCAAAAAATGAAAAAAACTCCTGGAGATACCATGTATTAGTACCTGCATACCAAATGTCCTCAAAATCAGACTACAGGTGTGGTCTGTACCTCTGTAAACATCCACACATACAGACACACACTCAGACGTCACTTCGAAAACCACATTTTTTTGGGTTCAGGAGGACCCAAAATGAATAGGTAGTATATCCACTCAAAACTCAAACTCGAAAATGTTGACGAAATCGATACTTTTTCCATATTAAGCAACATATTACTTTGTATAGGGGGAGAAAGTAAAAAAAAGTGTTGCAATATTTTTGTAGTTCTTAGATTTTAGTTCTTGGTCTTTTAGTTTTAGTGATTAAAACTACAATTTTAAGGTAATTGGCCCAATTATATCTGAAATCGAATTCAAATATTTTACATTTTCTACTAAATGAGCATTTATTATGCTAAATATAATAATTTGATACAATAATTAGCCAAAAATACTGATGAACAAAAATCTATTTAAATGACCAAAAAAATAATGTTAGCAAACTTTATAGTCCAAACAAAATGTAGATGAGAGGAAAAAGTTGATTCCCTGCACTTGAATGTCGTATCAATACTGATACAAAAGTTTAGGGAAGGAAGGGGGAGTAATACAAGCTGATGAAAAGCCGGATCAGCTGTAGGCTGTAAGACCGTAATCCGGAGCACGGGACCATAATATGACACCCCCCAATCCCCTACCTGGTATCATACACATGTTCTACCTGTTGATTCTCTATGCGGCAAATTGCTTTAACCTTTAACTGAGCTAGCTGTACAAACAATAGTACATTTATGACCCCTACAATTGTAGTTATGACAGTAAAAATGTAGTTATGGGGTTTTTGTAAGCACCAATTACCCCTTAATTAGTCTTTGGTGAGATTTACCCTATAATATTGTATTTTTATCATAGTTCACACTCAAATTGTCTCCTATACTCGAGACGTAGTTGATATATGTGGTACATTAGTTACACAACATAATGCAGTACGTTAATATAGTAACATTTAGTTGATATACCTTGCCAAACGGCTTGTAACCATTGACTAGTCAATGCTTGTAACCCATCATAGATGGGAGACTTCAATTTACTTAAATTCTACTGCGAAACCTTTTACTTTAACCTAGTCCAAAATAGACTCTAATAGATAGATAGATGCTCTAACCCTTCATTCCTGTCGATTCTCTAACCTCGCTCAAATTGCTTTAACCTTTAATTACTTCAATACACAACAGAGAGCAGCTGTACAAACAGTAATAGATTTAAGCACAGAAAACATACTTTTGAGTATGTTTTCTGAGATTTAAGACTTATAAAATTTGTAGTTGCAACAGTAAAGGTAAATTACTTATGACAAATAAGCTATCTTGCCTCCCTTTGTACCAAAATAGATGTTGACTTTCGTTGCAATACCAAAATAATTGTCAAAGCGTGCAGTAAGTCAACACTTTAAAATGAATAAATTCATTATAGACGACACGAAACAAAATTCCTGTTTACTAAGTTTTATTTCACCAATTTCCTGGGATTTTGTGCGTTTTTCTACAGATAAATTTGTTCATTGTTTGATATTTTTTATGAATATTGCAGTTTAAGTTTGACACAGTGTTCATGAGATTAAAACCTATCACAGAAAGGGAACTAAAAAACGTTTTACCTTTATTAGTTAATTAGTTCTACAATTCTAACTTTTTTTAAATGTGAGAAATAGCTAGGAGACACAGCTATTAATTGCTCATGATTATTTTTTTTTAAATAATGCAAGAAAGCAGTGTTTTATTGGAGTTATTATTTTACTGTCTTATTTTGATAACAATATTTTTAACAATTTTTATACCGGTTAAATGAGTTTGATGAATATCATGGGAGAAGATAACACTGTAAAAAGCTACATGAAAATTTTAGCAACATTAATTCACTAGATAAAAACTAAAGTATGCATGTTGCCAGGGACAAAATCATGAAACAAAGACGCGGGAATCATTTAATAATTAAAACTAAAATTTGTCAAAGTAAATAAATGGACACAGGGTAGACAAACTACGGTACTTAGTTTAAAGACCAAAATAATAATATAAGTGGGACCGGATCAGTAGGCTTACATACTTAAGAATAAAAGGAGCTCAGAATGGAATGGAACATTGTACGTAGTGCTTACAGCCTAACCTCATAAGCTCTTCAATTTTACCTGGTTACCTGACCTAATTTACATACAGACTATTACCCTGTTGGAAGTCGTGTAAAATGTTACAAGGCAGGTGAAGTTATTAAAAGTATGGACTTTTAAATGTTGTTAAAACATACTTCTCATATTGTAAATTCATTCTTTGTTGGAAAAAATTGTATCATCATTCCAAAGGCAATTATTGAACTATTATAAAAAAAAAAAAAATGCTGCATAAGTATTGTTTTGAGAATGAGTGTTAAATAATTTTGAGGGCCCCAGGACCTCACTTTCAAGTTACGCTCTTTCCAATGACACCAAAAACATGTCAATCGGTTCAGTATAGTTTCGGAGGAGTAATTGTCACAAAAAATCTGCTTGCGTATTAAATAAGTATAGATAGATTTTCTCTTTATTTTGACCCAAGGAATCCAGGAATTATGTCCCTACCATTTCTGAACACCCTGTATGGATAGCAAAAAAGTGAGTACATTTATTGAACTACCCTGTATAAGTAGTAAGCTGTGATTGTAACGCCACTCACGTAGGTGTTATATGCAGCTTTTATCTGCACTGGTATTGTAGCTATCTGCTCAGTGCACA